CCCCCCCCCCCCCCCCCCCCCCCCCGGTAAGGTCATTAATCCACAAGTCTAAACACCGAAAGAGAGTAAACCACCAGGGGAAATTGTCAGGATAGCTCATTGATAAACTCACCACCTCATCATAGTACTTTTATACTTTCTAAACAGTGTACAAATACATAGAAATTGTTTGAGGTCAAAACTATATACTTCCTGCATAGATTGACAGTTACAATTTACACACTGCATTCATATCAGAAATCTGATTGGCTTGATGGGGATGAAAAGATGGCCAGAAGGCATCATAAGCAAACCAACCACAATTTCCACAACCTTGTCTAAAAAAGGAAAGGTTCAAGTCAAGGATGAAGTTAGTCAAGAAGAACAAAGTCCAGTTTTCAAGATGTTCTCATTTTACCATTTTTTCCTTCATTGCTGCATCAAACTTTGCTTGTACTTTATCCAGTTCTGCCTGCTTCTCATCGAGCAATGCTTGAGCCTTCCCTAATTCTGCATTTGCCACTTTTAAACGTCCTTCTTGTTTTGCCAAGTTAGCCTAAAATGAAAATGTAGAGATATGTTTTGTTACAGCTTTCACAACTATATATAAGCTTTTTCTGTTCTTAGCTTTAAAGGAAGTATAGAGATGGAAAAAGCAACCCATACTAGCTAGGTGAAATAAGGTATTTAACTAATTGGAAACCATCCAAAGTATTCTGTCTTAGGAAATGTTTGATGTCTTCCCAATGTCAGAAAAGAACTAAGATTGCAACTATGTGTGACAAAAAGAGATCCATGACTGGATAGTCTATGTTTTATTTTGACAATTTTCCTAACTGTTCTGGGCTCACCAGTCTTATAGTTCAGCATATTCATTGACTGGTGCAATCCACTCTTAAACAAAGCTTTAAAAATATCAATATTTTTCTCTCCTACTATCTAAAAATATGCATATAACCAAATTTTGTCATTTACCTTAAGGGGCAATACTTCTCTGTTTATGCCATAAAATATTGCCATAGCCAATGTCCACGAAAGGAGCCCTGCCACATTGCCACAGACTTTTTTGCCATTCTCAAAAGTATAATCATCCATTTGAAAATAGGGTTGCAGCAATTCTACTGTCTCTTCATTGATTGAATCTTTGGCAAACTGCTGGAGACTCTGCAGAAATGGCCCACTCATGAGCTGGAAGTAAACAGATTTTTAAAATCCTTAGACGCTTTCTTTTTCTGTCCCATTCTCAACTGTAATATCTTTCTGAAGGCAAACTTGTGATGTTTTTTAACTTCAGCTGTTTTAACATTCTTTCAAAAATTGAAACATCTTTCATTAACAGTTGTAGCTGTTCAACTGCTTACTCATATGTGCTAGTAAGAAGATCGAAGGAATTAATCAAAAGAATAGGACTTTTCTAAACAGCATCACTAGTAACCTGGATTCATTTATTAAAACTCGTAGCACATGGTGTTCTCATAAATACTAAGGCACAGTGCTGATTGGTATTAGTAAATGCTTTAAGTATTGACTTACGGGGAAGACAGAGGCAAAGAGATGAGCAAATGGGTAAAAAATCTTACTATATTTTTTCTTATTATAAAATCACATAATTGATGTGGTTTCCCCAAACTTATTCAGGCATGAATCATGCTCAAATGTATATTTTCATGTTTGCACTTTTATTGTATTCCTAATTTATACAATGATTACTACGTAAAATATATAGATTGTGATCCTGTTAGTAATGTATGAAGTTCAACTTTAAATCAATATATGAAACTACAAATGAATATAATGATGACTCGGACCTGCCCTGGAATACGATTTGGATCATGTGGTTTTAATTGATGCTTTAATGCTATGTTTTTAATGGGTTTGGTTTTAATGTTTTTCCTTTTTACCGATGTATTAATATATGGTATTGAAATGTTACCATTGTAAGGCCATCCTAAGTCCCCTTCAGGCAGGATATAAATGTGGTAAATAAATAAATTTATGTCTGCATATTTCCACTCATGGTTATTCTGGAAGTCAGAACCCTCTACTAACCTCAAAATGACTAAGATCCCCTAACCCACTTTTCAAGCTGTTGCAGCCACTCCAACATAACCATTTGCTGAAAAATTGGGTGACAGCCAAGATGTATCCAGCTATCTTCCTGTAACAGGACACACAAAAATTGCATCATCCTCCATTACTATATAATTTCAAAATTGGAGAGGACCACAAATGTGTTCAAATCCAGAAGCCTGCCATGCAACAATACAGAACTAAAGCACTTCTAAGAGATGCCCTTCTAACCTCTGTTGAAAGACTTCCCAGGAAGGAGAGTCTGCCACTTTCCAAGGCACTCTATACTACTGTTGAACAGTTCTCACTTTATCAGCAGCCATGTTGGTAGGGCTGCAACAAGTTTAAAGGGGTTGCAAATATGAGGGGAGATATATTGTAGCCTATACACAGCAGCTAGATCAGCTGTCGGAATTTAAGAAACAATTGTAGACCTATCACTTCCGGCATGCCTACCCGGTCAGTCTCAATCATGAATTTTAAACTCGTATCTTGTGTTTAAATCTATGTTCTGTGTATTTTAATATGCATTTTATAGAAATACATTTTAATATGTGTGTTTTATAGAAATATGGTTTAATATGTGTAATATTTACAATGATTATGTGTTTTCAACTGTTATAACCTGCTACGATCCATGAAGAGAGGCAGATAAGAAATAAAGTTGTGGTTGTTGTTGTTGTTGTTTTTGTTGTTATCTACAATTTGTCACACAATCCTGGCTCTTGGCAAGTTATAAAGTTGTGCTGCTTCGGCAGGAAGGTAACAGCACTCCATGCAGTCATGCTGGCTACATGAACTTGGAAGTGTCTGCAAACAATGCTGGCTCTTTGACTTAGAAATGGAGATGAGCACCGCCCCCCAGAGTTGGACTTGACTAGATTTAATATCAAGGGGAAAACTTTACCTTTACCTTATATACTTGGATCCAGGCCACTAAGCTTCACAGAAAGATTGATGGATGGATATAGAAGTACATGTAAATATATAGATATATGTCAAGAATGCTTACTTTCAAGGATTCACTCCAGGATGGTTTCACACAAGGCCTTTCTGGATCCTGGGTGACTGGGTCTATTTTCTTCTGGAACAGTAAGAGACAACAGTCCATGATCCTCATGATGAGATGAGGTGGTTTGGCAAGTTTTCGAACAGTTGCAATATCTGCTGGCTTGATAGTCTGCAAAGGAAAACATAATTTAGTGCCTGAGTAAAATTTTAGAAAAATACTTGGAAATTGCATGATCTTACATACAATTTATCATTTCTCTTTAAACAATAGGTTCTAAGTAGAATAATGAATCAATACATTTCCAGTAGAGGCAGCAGAAATTTCAATGAAAGAAACACAGTCTTACCAAAGTAAATACAATTTATCCTTCCAAAACTGCTACAGTGAAGTATTCTTAATGAAACACTGATTATATCCAATCAGTGGTGCACAGAGACTATGATATCAGGGAAGAATTAATCAAAGAAACTTAAGTTTGGAAACCATGCAACAACAGATCCCAACAAGGCAACTATTTGAAACTGACTACATGTTGGACAATCTCCCAGCTTAGTCTGGCTCAAGTCCGTAATTCATCATTTTCTTGTTACATTAAATTGCATATAGTTCACTACTTGAAATACACTGAAATACAACACTCCTTGAGCTCTACGGCTGCAGCATACTTCTGAATGAAGCAGAGAGTGTTTGAGAACCGGGAAATTCATAGGGATACCAAGGTGCTTATTTATAAAGCCATTGTCCTTCCAACCCTGCTACACACCTACAAAACATGGACTGTCTACAGGCATCATATACAATCCTGGAATGATTCCATAAGTGCTGCTTCTGAAAAATACTGCACATCTCTTGAGAAGACAGCCAGACAAATGTCAGCATGCTGGAAGAAGCAAAGACCACCATCATTGAAGTGAAGGTCCTCTGCCATTAAAGCCGCTGGATTGGCCACGTTGTCCGAATGCCCGATCACTGTAAAGGTCCCTTACCTTTTGCAGCCAGGATTGCAGGGCCTAGAGTTAGTCTGCCAGCTAGTTTGCAGATTAGGTGGGCCTGGCAAAACAGCAGTAGCCATTTTAGATCAGGGAAGGCACCATCTTAGAGAGAGTTTAGAGAGGGGGAGTGTCTTAGGCCTGAGTCACCAGAGATCGACCAGGATTGGTTTAGAAAAGGGGGCGGAGTTTAGAGAGGCTTGGAGGGAAAAAGAGCCTTTTAAGTCAGAAAAGGGAGTTGAAGATTAGGTTTTGAAGAGAAAGGATGTTTTAGAAGTTTGTGGTTTTAGGAGTTAGGATAGGGCAAAGTTTGCCAGTGGTTTGCCAGCAAGTTAGCTGAAGCAAACTGAACAGCTATTAGAGATATAGCTGGGTTGTAGCTAGATAGGACTAGGTTAGTGTATCTGAGCTACAGAAGAAATCCTGACAGAGATTCAGTTCCTGTTAAGTTTTCTTGTTAGTGAAGAGAAGAAACTCTTTTTATTGTAACAAAGACAGAACATTATTGTAACCGCTACACATTCAAGACAAAAACAAAAATTCTCTGTAACAGTCAAGATATTGAACTGCACTTATTGTTCCTGTTTCAATCAATAAACTTTCATTGATTATTTAAATTTAAAAGCCTGACTCAAGTGTGCCTTTGTGGCTAAAGTTTCCTACCCAACCTCAACTGTTTTTAAAAGAAGAAATAATAGGACACAGTGCTTGGTGGTCTCAAAAGATCTTTAATATTTGGGCAGCTAGAGTGTTCCCTTACATTACAGTTTGGTGGCAGCGGAAGAAACTTAAAAGATACCCCTCAGACATCCTAATTGGATCCAGTGATGTGGGATTGAATAGAGTATATCCCCATCTTTATAATTGCCCAGACAGCGGAGTGGGATCTGATATCGATTAGATCCTCGAAAGCATAATCCTTTATAATCACCATCTCCCAAAGCAGTTACTCTACTCCGAACTCAAGAATGGAAAAATGGAATGTTGGTGGACAGGAAAAGAGATTTAAAGATGAGCTTAAAGCGAACCCTAAAAACTGTGGCATAGACACCGAGAACTGGGAAGCCTTGGCCCTTGAATGCTCTAACTGGATGTCAGCTGTGACCAGCAGTGCTGAAGTATTTGAAGAGGCACGAATGGAGGGCAAAAGGGAGAAATATGCCAAGAGGAAGGCACGTCAATCCAACCCTGACCGCCTTCCATCTGGAAACCGATGTCCTCCCTGCGGGAGAACATGTGGATCAATAGTAGGGCTCCACAGCCACCTACAGACCCACCCCCAAGACACCACATCTGGAAGACAATCATCCTCGAGCTACAAGGGATTGCCTAAAGTAAGTACTACTTGAAAAATCACTTCCAAATACAAAGAAAATTTACTTGTGTTACTTGTAATATAACAGAACTACATTCTATATATTACATAATTCATTTTCTCAATATACTGTGTTCTTTAATTATTTCTCAGTGTAGTGTTTTTTTTTAAAAAAATGTAAAATTTGAGTGAATCATTACAATACACACACACACACACACAACTGTGTTGTACCCTGCTTTGAGCTATGAGAAGAGGCAGGTAACAAATAAAACTATTATGATTATGATAATTATTATAAAATACATCACTCACATTCAAAGCAGCTTCAGCTTCTTCTAATGCTGGTCTAGCTGCCTCAAGCTTTGCCTCTGCTACCACTTTCTCTGAATCAATTTCATCTACAATCTTTTGTGCTTTGTCTTTGACACCTTGTACTTCATTTTTCACTTTAGCTGATGCCTCCGCACTGACTGTTACTTCGGCCAGTACCTAATACAAAACAATGATAAAAAGTATTCTGGGTCATGTGTTGTGCTATTGGAAACTATATTGTAAAAAGAGAAGTGAAAATTAAAATTTGAAGTGCAAAAATAAAAATATGGAGTGTTGTGTGGTTTTTAGTGAAGCATCTAAAATCTGAATTGTGAAATGGGCAGATCTAAAACACCAGTGGAATTTGAGTCCAATTTATAGTAATCAACTAGTTCTCCCGGGATAATTAGTATGCTGTTGGAAACTGTATTGTAAAATTAGAAGTGCAAAATAAGAATCAGAAGTGAAAAAACAACAGCATGCCTTCTAATCCTCATATTATCCTAGGAGGTCTGAATCAGAATTCAGACAAAACGACATCTTAATACAGTTGGTACTCACTTTGTCTGCTTTTACAGAAGCCAAAGCCAGTTCCTTCTCTTTCACTGCCAGCTCCTGGGAGAGTTTAGCGACAGATTCACTGGCCTCCATCAGTTTAGAAAGACCTAAAATAGTGACCAAAATTCAGATAATTTTTTTGTTTTCTTTCTTCATAGTTGTACAATGTATTCATTTCATATATAGTAATATACTTTACTAAATATAATACTAATGTAACACAATTTGTGCACACAATTTCTCTCTCCCTGCTCTCTTGTCAGAAATCAGGACCCCCAGAATGCTAATTCCATTGCGTTTTCTCATCCTCATTCTCACTACATGATCTGACATCCCCTACTAAATATACCTTGAGGAAAACATCACATTGAATATATTTGAAGCAATATAGTGGCCGTTTATCAATGTTGTCAGTTCGAAAAGAGGAAATTAATCCACTGCCTAAAGCTTTGAAATACTCGAGGAAAATATCTTGAAATGGGTATATTGCTATGACTGTTTGAGGAAAACATGCAAAGTATTTTCACAGCGTTGTGGTAGGTTTTTTCGGGCTATATGGCCATGGTCTAGAGGCATTCTCTCCTGACGTTTTGCCTGCATCTATGGCAAGCATCCTCAGAGGTAGTGAGGTCTGTTGGAACTAGGAAAAAGGGTTTATAATATATCTGTGGAATGACCAGATATATAAACAAAGGACTCTTGTCTGCTGGAGCTAGGTGTGAATGTTTCAACTGACCACCTTGATTAGCATATAATGGCCTGGCAGTGCCTGGAGCAAACTTTTGTTGAGAGGTGATTAGATGTCCTTGTTTGTTTCTTCTCTGTTGTTGTGCTGTTGTAATTTTAGAGTTTTTTAATACTGATAGTCAGATTTTGTTCATTTTCATGGTTTCCTCCTTTCTGTTGAAATTGTCCACATGCTTGTGGATTTCAATGGCTTCTCTGTGTATTCTGACATGCTGATTGTGAGAGTAGTCCAGCATTTCTGTGTTCTCAAATAAAATGCTGTGTCCAGGTTGGTTCATCAGGTGTTTTGCTATGGCTGATTTCTCTGGTTGAAGTAGTCTGCAGTGTCTTTCATGTTCCTTGATTCGTGTTTGGGCAATGCTGCGTTTGGTGGTCCTTATGTAGACTTGTCCACAGCTGCATGGTACACGGTAGACTCTGCAGAAGTGAGAGGATCCCTCTTGTCCTTTGCTGAACATAGCATTTGTTGGATTTTCTTGGTGGGTCTGTAGATAGTTTGTATGTTGTGTTTCCTCATCAGCTTCCCTATGCCAATGGATACTCCATATCAGACACCAGAAGAGCTGCAAGACCGAGAACAAGCCACGAGAATAAAGACGAAGATCCACCCAGAGGAAAAGTGGTTCAAGGGAACAACTGACCGCATAGGGAAGTCTTCGACAATGTATTTTCACAGCATTATACATTAGGTTAACTATGGGGCTGGGGGGATGAAAGTGTTGGATTTGATGCACCAGGACTCTTTAGCAGAAAAGTCTAAAGACCTTATACAACCACACCTCCCAGGATTCCATACCATTGAACCATGACAGGTAAGGTATTGTTGAACTGCATTCATTCTACAGTATAGATAAACCCTAAGAGTTGAATGTTTATATAAACATATATAAAATATTTGTTTGTTGCACTAGCTCAGTGCTTCTCAACCTGTGGGTCCTCATGTGTTTTCACCTACAATTCTCAGAAATCCCAGCCAGTTTACCAGCTGTCAGGATTTTTGGGAGTTGAAGGTCAAGACATCTGGTGGCCCACAGGTTGAGAACCATTGCACTAGCTGATTGTAAAGCGGATGCACTGTTTTGTTTTTGTTTTTGTTTTAAGACTGATTGTAGAGAAAGTCTCATTGAACTTAGTAGGTCTTACCTGCATTGTTAAAGGACCCAGAAAACAAAAAGATATAGAAAGGAAAAAGAGTGGGTACCAAATGATTGTCTCTCAAAAATTAACAAATCTTAATTTTATCTTACCTATGTGCATACGCTCAGCTTGTTCATTAATGTTGGCTAGCTTATCAGCATAAACATCCTTGTAGCCATTAATGAAAGACAAGTAAGATTTTGGAGTGACATGAGCTCTTCGTCGATATCTGAAATGGTGAACATAAATATGATTGAAATTTGAATAATTAGGCAATAATTTGATAAAGCTCTGAACAAATACAATGACAGTCATACAGTTTATTATAGGCCAGAGAAAAATTCTGCTCCCAACTTGTCATACAATGTTGACAGCATACATTGCTACATAAACAATATCTATATTTAATCTAGTCTAGATGCATGTTTTACTAGTTCCAACCCAAATCAGCATTTTAGGGCAACATGTCAGAGCTTTCAGGTTTATAAAAACTTTGAAAATTCCCCAAATATCTGTAGATAAGTGAAACTTTCTGAAACTTGATGGGCTAACAGTGGTAAATGTGTTCTACCATTGTAGCAAGTTGCACCCTAATAGCTGTAAAAATGAGGTAGAAAGGAGCCCCTGAAATTTCCCCACTTGCACAATTACTATAATGAAAAAGTAACAAAATTTTCTTACTCTCGTTATAGTAACAAAAATTTCACTAACAACACCTTAGAAACACTTTAGAAACAAAATGCTAGCATACCCTAATTTTGTAATGAGTTTTGAAACTTTTTTTCATCAATCGCACAGCTCTAATGAGTATATATTTATTCTAGTAGCAAATATCACTATCATGTGTATTTCTAATACAGTCAAACCTCCATATTTGTTGGGTTGGAGCACTGAACCCCCCATGAAAATAAAGGACTACAAATGAAGAAACTGCTATTTTCTAACCCGAGGGAGCACATCTATAGGAATTTCTAGGTTTTTCATCATTATGATCAATTTCTACTGGAAGATGGAGTCTCACTTTTCTCTAGATATCTCTAGGTCCTCCAGCATAATGGAAGGAAGTTGACCGTACACTGGAGGTACTAGATATTCTTAGAGAAAACATTTTATAAATTTATTATTAATCAAATCTGCAAAACAAATCACAAATTTGGAGGAACAATTAAAGTACCTTTGGAAATAATTATCACAGCTTTCTGAAACTAAGTCATGAAAGATGCCCATTGTTTCTACCACTTGCGCTTTAACTTCAGGAGAACAGACAATATTAAAACCTGACAGGAAATAATGTGACACAGCCACAAGGGCTTCCTTGGGCCATCTTGTGAACCAGTCCATGGTGCAGCCAGATATAAGACCAGGAAATTTCAAAGAGCGTGCTCGGAATTTTTCACCAACCTATCAAGAATAATAGAAAAGAATTTGAACACCATGCTAATGATCTTGTATCTAGGCAAACCTACTTGTTCAGCCATTTCCATTTGACATCCTTCACACAGAACTTCAATTCCTACTGTATGTATGGACTAATCTGACATTATGTATAAGCAGTTTATCAAACTTAGCCATCATACTTAATCCTTTAGAGAAAAAGCACCCTAAATTATGGAATATGAGGACACTTTGTTCTTATCTGTCAGAGATTCTTCAACAGTTGAATTTGTTGACGTGTAATTACAAAAAAATGATAGGGATATCTAGATCTGTGGCTATATTAGCGAGAATTCCATTTGACCTTTTACAAAGCAGGGGGTTTCATTGAATTTCACTTCTAAGGACACATGTGTAAGATTTAAATGCATTAGTTCTGCAGTTCAAGTGGATAATTCAGTTGATGCCAGTAGAACAATTTACATAAAATCAGGCACAGGTTTAAACTGTCATAATATTGCACATTTAACTGTGAGGAACACATTTTAGTAAAATAACAACAACAACACAACTCATATATAGACCTTTAGAATTTATCATTAGATTTCAGCAAAACAAAAAAATCACTCCATGCTAAGCACAAGAAAAGCAAAGGTACTTGTAAAGGAAACTTACTGGAGAAAAGCAGAGGACCACATGAAGATTTTTCCTTGACCGTGTTATAAAATATTCATAAAGATTATCAAAGGTAGGAGGAACTCTCGGTAGCTCTTTTTTCATTACAGATATCAAGCTTTGAGTTATTTCATCCATTTCATCCCGAGGAAATAAATTGGAAATCTTATGGAAAAACCAAAAGAAAATTAATATCCATTTACTAATATTATTATAATGTAACAGTTGAGAAATTATAGCTCCCATACAATTCTTTCAGTTAGACCTCTAAAGCAAGAGTGGGAACATCCCCAGAACCATTTCTGTGAATTTCACCTTCCCATAAATTCTTCCAGAAATTCCCCTATAAAATAAATAGGAAATAGGAAATACTATTTTTTTTTAAAAAAAAAATCATAGTTTGTCACTAGCATTTTGGGTCAAGCCATGAAACTCCACTGAAACAATAATTTCTTCTTGTTCCATTTGCCACAGTTTGCTTGTGTCTTAGAACCCTACCATACAGTTCCTATATCTCAGAATCTGATGCCAGAATATCTGCTTATCCCAGGTTTCTTGCTATGCGGACTCTTATAATCTATTTCAAACCAGATAACCTGAAATATAAGGACTGCGTGGAAGGGGCCATAGTCATCCATGGAAGCAGCTCATGGAGGAGAGGAGGAATTGGTTCTTGGACTATCATTGTTGTCCATTCTTTTTCTTATTTTTTTTCACAGTTCAATGTAATATATCTGGGATTGTTTGGACCTCATTCCCTTTTAAAATCCTGTCATTTGCTTTTTGGTAGATCAGAAGATGAGGGAATGTTCTTCTCAACCCCAATTACTGTCCAAGGACTCCCTTCTCCCCAAGAGCTTGCCAAAAGTGACAATACATTAAGTGGAAACCAACACATTTCAATTAGACAAATTAAATAATATTTTCTCTCATAACTCTTAGTGTAAAAAAGGCCCTGTCTACATTGATCATTTACTACAGCTCAAAGCCAACTTGAAACTGTGATGGTCAGAAACCCACACAATGATCACAGTTTCAAGTCAGCTGCACATTAAAGGAATCATATCATCTTTTGTGTGCTGCAGCTCGAATTGAAGTGTATACAGCACACAAAAGATGGGATGATTCCTTTGATGTGCAGCAGGAGCAGCAGCATGTGGAGCACATTGTAGATGCCCGCTTTTGCTGAAGCATTTTGTAGGATACAGAGTGAGGAGGTGAGGGGGTTGTCAAAATGCCCCAATGTCATGACCAGCTAGCAAAGGGCTGACTGAATCCCCAGGGAGGAGTAACTGATTAACTTCAAACCGAACTGTCACTATCCACTTTTGTTTATCTCCTAAGCTTCTGGAGTGGAAATGGGGGGTGGGGTGGGGTGGGATGGAGAGAAGTTCACAGAGCAGTTTGAGGCCCAGTTCCATGGTTCATATAATCACCCACCTGAATCCAAACCAGTTCCAAAACTGTCAAGCAAATCACCTGTACAGTGAAACTGGTTATTCCAAACTGATTTCAAGCTGCATTATAGCATCAGTGTAGATGTCTCCAAAGCCAATTAAACAAAATAGCTCCCCATAAATAAATATCATGAGTACAAGGCAGGCAAAACACCACCCTGCCCAGTAAAGCCAAAGGAGAGGCAACATAACTACTCAGGCTGGAAAAATAACCAGATGAAGGCTATATTAACTAGCAAGCACAGTGGATGGTCCAAGTAACAATCAAAGGAGATGCAAGAGAGCTGGAGCTGGTAAAATATTTTTCACTCCACGCCCCTTCCCCATGTCACAATGCCGAGTGTGACAATACTTTCATTTGTTCCTCCCTTATTTCAAAAGGGAAAATGGTGGTCTCTCTCTGCAATCTGCATTGCAGGAGTTGCAGAGAGAAGACACAGATTCTGTACATTTTTGCTTGCATCATACATTGTCACAAAAAGCATTCATGATCAAGAGAGTGAAAAAAGAAATTACCATTATGTTTACCTTTTTATATTTTTATATGTACATAAGCTGTATTATATCTGCTTTTGAATTAGAAAGATCAACAAAAACCTCTGAAAATAGTAGTTATTTTTACTACAATAATAACTTAATTTTAAAGACTGTATAGACTGAAACTAACCTCTCCAGAAGAAAGCAAGTTATTAAGGTATTCCAAAAATGCCTCATCTTTTATTTCATTGTCTGTGAAAATAAATGTGATTCCTTTTCCATCAGCGCCAGCAACTCGATATAAAATCTTTAGGTCATCTGTGAGATTGGTCACATTGTATGATCTGAGAGTGGGAGCAGGAAAACAGGAAAATCCTAAACTGATAACGTTCTTTGTGAGTGTCCTTCTATGTGTGATGAGGTCGTGAGTAACAACCCTAATAACAACTCATTGAATGGAATATAAACTACATCTAGGTATAGCCTAGCACGTTATTTTCAAACACAGTGGTGTGTCTCACACTAAATTCACCAATTGTATTTCTTGCATTTCCATCCCATTTGGGGACCCTTTTTTCAAAACTGATATTATCCTGAAATCCCTGATTCCTTCATCATTTCCCAAGATCCTTACATTTTGATCTAAAGCTAGGTTTTGTAACACAGTTGAAATAAAATATCTTTAAACCAGTATTTCTGGTGCATTTGCAGAGGAATCAGGATTGTTGCAGCAGCTTGCTGTGCTCTGTTCTATTTCCAATTCTCTTTCTAAATCTGGATGCCCATTCCACCACATTCTAGATTTCTTATTCCTTTTATATCTTCTCTTTTTTCTTCACAGTTCTCAACTCTTATCCTGTCACTATTCATCCCCTTAAATGTCATGAATTTCCCTATCTGTTGCCCCTATTGTGATGGAACTACTTTTCTGTGTTTCTTTTCTTTCATTTCATGAGATATCCATTAATCTTTGGGATTTATTTGGGACCTTATCCCATGTCCTGCCCCCCCCCCCCCATTCTAAAACATTTCTAATCAACTGAGGGTACAATTTATGATGGAGCTCTTCCCATAATGCAGCTCCATCAGGGTTTTTTAGGGAAATATCAGTAATAGTCATAAAAAGGCGAGAGAGGAGAAGATGATGAGGGATCATCTTCTGGATTTAAGAACCAGGATATAATCGGAGAAAACACCCAAAAACATGTGGGACAGGAGTTGTCAAATTTGCCCATGTTTCATCTCTTCAGTGATGTGGAGTAATGAATGTTGCTGTGGGAGATCCCCTACCAAGCACTGATATTTATCTCCCAATGGTAATGTTTTTAATTAATGTAATCATTGTAATCATTTGAAATACCAAAATTTCAAAATATGTTTGTGATAAGGAATGACAAATAGAACTATGTGCTACAGGACTAAAAGCCACAATAATATGACCCCCCCCCCCCCCCCCCACACACACACACCCCTAATGGAACAAGGTTCAAGGAGACCAATTAATACTTAGCAACTCATTCCTTTGAAATAAATTGATTTAGCCCAATTTTGTTTCATTAAATAAGACTCGGTTGAATTATTACATCACTGCCTGAAACATTCTGTTTTCTTTGTTTACTGCCTTCATAATCACCTCTGTAGATTGGCTTAGCCATGCTACTGTCCTGCTGATATAACTGAAGTCTGCTGCTGTTTTTGCAATTTGGAGGTCTCCACCTGCTGTGCTTTCACTATACTGCTTTTAATGCCGTGACAGAAGGATGTACCTATTGACTGCTTGGATAATCTGTTTCTCTTTCCTTATGCTGCCAAGGCTTATTCACTATTCCAGAAATGTCAATCACCTCCTGCAGTTTTGTAGCTGCTAGTTTTGTCTATTACCCCATGGCAGCCAGAAGCAATTGTAGCTGCGGGTTGTTTTGTTTTGTTTTTGTTTTACTTCTAATTGGCAATGGCTGTTTCTTTATGTGTTTTTTTAATATGTGATCTACCATCCTGAGTATATGCCTTCCTGTCTTTCCATTGTTTTGATTGAGATATTGAAAAATCCTCAGTATCACTCTCATTTATAGAAATAAATATGCATTGTAAGACTTTGGCCTGTTCCTCATAGCTGAATAAAATCCCACACTGGAATATATGACAGTGTGGACTCAGATAACCCAATTCAAAGCAGATACAGTGGGATTTTCTGCCTTGATATTCTCAGTTATATGGCTGTGTGGAAGGGGCCCGGTGGTCTCTTCCAACTCTATGATTCTACTCTACAAGACTATTATAAGGTTGCCTTGGCAAGATACGTTCCCCCAAAGTAAGATATCAAAGAATCATGATCTTAATTTGGGGAAACAAATCTTGCCAAGACAGCTCTATGATGGGGTTGCCACACCTTAAAAATTGGATGTGGAAGCGCCCTTTGTCAACAGCAGGTTCAAACACTCGCTTGGCAGGGATCATCTAATGGGGGATGATGTTATTATTGATTCAACACCTGGTCTCCTGACTTGCAGACAAAGGAATTGACTCAGCAGCTGTTTCGTACACAAGCTGCTTCTTTCTTTTTTTCAAAGGCACTATCACTTTATTTTTTAAATCTCCTCTTCTGATACCTTTTTTTTTCTGAATTCCCTGCATTCTTAATTTACTCCAACTCTCTTAATGTGTGTGAGTGAAGTCAAAACATAACTTACCTAGCAAGGCAGAAAAAAATAAAAAATAGACAGTGAAGGGAGTGGAATTAACTATGAAAACAGAAAAAGAACTTTGAACTCCTCTATTGACAGCTGACGCATCTGGAATACCCCATGTGCCATCCAGATAAAGTAATTAGAAGAGAAAATGATATGCTCTTTGATTATATGACTGACTTGCCTTTCTATAAACTGGAGCATACTTCACATTTTGAAGCATCCCAAAGTGACCAATAAGGAGTCAATGGTAGGATTACCACTAGACTACAGCCTTAAGCCCAAGATCTCCACTGGTGATCCAGAGCCCTTGCTATAATTGTAATTTTCCTCCTCTTTCACCATTTTTTTTGTCCTTTCATCCCCCAACCTCCCAAACTCACTCACACACATTCCAGAGTTTCTTTAAGAATTAAATGCTATATGCTGTTATAGTGTAGTATATTGGCATAAAAGGTGACGTAACAAGAACTGACAGTGGCTTCTATGTCATGGGTAAAGTGAATTGCCTCCGGATTTTATTGCAATTTTAAGGACCTATTTAAGTTGCCAAATTTCAGTCCAAAAATGGATCCAGTGCCTTGGATAAAATTCACTGCAAATTCAATTTATTATTAAACATGGAAACTTCTTAGCCCCTGATTGGAATGGGAGAGGAATATTTGGGGAGAATGACAGTCATATGCCTGATCTAGCCTCTGCATTATGAACAGTACTTTGGTAGATTCTGGGCCCTTCCACAGAGCCATACAATCCAGAATATCAAGGCAGATCATCCACAATATCTGCTTTGAACTGGGTTATCTGAGTTCACATTGCCATGTAACCCAGTTCAAAGCAGATAATGTGGGATTTTATACAGCTGTGTGGAAGGGGACTCTGTCAGTAGCAACAAATGCACACAAATACATAGCAAACATGATTGTCATGATGAGATGACAAAAATGAGATTAAAATGTATTTTTCTCACCTAGTTAAAGTTATTTGAAATATTTTGTATCCAGCAATAAAAGAAGCCAGCCTTGAAAGACTCTGTTTTCCAGAACCACCAACTCCTACAAGTAAAGCATTTCCACAAGCTGTCCGAATTATTCGTGAAATCTATATTACACAAGAGAGAGACAAAACCAGAAAGAAACAGAGTTGTTGTGCTTATCCAGTTATACAATGTTAAATAATTACATGCAAAGTAACTCTGAAGATATGTTTCTTCATTTTAATGTAGTTCAAAGATTTATAATTTATTTAGACTCAGTTAATACTCCACTTATAAGATAGAAAAATATCCTTTATGTAGATGTGATTACAGCAACCACCTTCACATGATATTTTTTTAAAGCCTCATTGACAATAGTCAGCTGAGGCTTCTACAGAAGCACCAAAAAGAGTTTATATTATCCAAATTTATATAAGTGCTTCTTGGGCTACCTGATATATTTGTGTGTGGGTGTGTGTGTGAGGAACAACTTTAGAAACTGCAAGTCGCTTCTGGTGTGAGAAAATTGGTTGTCTGCAAGGATGTTGCCCAGGGGGTGCCTGGGTATTTGATGTTTTACCATCCTTGTGGGAGGCTTCTCTCATGTCCCAGCATGGGGATGTGTAGCTGACAGTGGGAGCTCAACCCACTCTCCCCAGATTCGAACTACTGACCTGTCAGTTAGCACAAGGGTTTAACTAATTGCACCACCTGATATGAGGGACCAGGCCTGTAGCCGGGAGGGGGGGGGGGTTAGGGGTTCACACACACTCCTCGAAATTTTTCAGGTTAAAAAAAAATCTGGTTTATTCATGAATTTTAACTGGTTAACCCAATCCCCATGCTAAGTCTATGGGAAGCAAAAAATCAAGAGTCCCACCAGAACTGCAAGCACTATCTCAAGCAAATATTGACAATTTATTCACACTGTCATTACTTGCAGCAATAGCCGATGTAGCGAAGCAACCAAGTTGGGGTGTGTGTGTTGAATGCTCTCATTAAGGAGGCCAGACTTGGTGGAGGTGGTTGACAGGGGCGGAGCTGCAGGCTATTGAAGGCTGCTCTGCCCCCTGCTGTGCTCTTTGCTTCAGCGTGAGCTAGGAGGCAGGTTTCAACCCCACTCCCCCCCCCCCCGAAAAAAATTTCTGCCTACGGAGCTGAGAGGGACTAGCATTTTTATTCCCAATGTGTTCAGGACTACAAACTGGCTACAAATTCTTATTTCCTTGATTTTCTTTATTTCTTTCTTTCCTGGAAATTGCAAGAGCCAGTGGCTTATGTGTCATCACTGTTCCAGTGACCACCATGCTGAGTAGAACTGATTTATATTGTACTATTGGCAATATATTATTCTTATTATAAAAGCATAGGATTGATCTGACTACATGTAAAGTGTGGACTCAAATGTAAACAAAACGTTGGATCAAGTTTATGATAATTGAAAGTTCTCACAATCACAAAATCAAGTCTCAAATTCAATAGTTCTCAAAAAATGTATCTACATTCAGATTTAATTTGACTACCCAAGCCCTTTTCCCATAGTGTGTGTGCTTCAAATGTTAAAGGCAATTCCTAGTGCCCTAGGCAGCATAACCAATGGTAGGAAATGTTGAAATCTGTGTGATATTCCATATGTTCTTATTCTTAATAAAACTTGACCATCTGCTGCTTGTTGTGCTTGTAACCCATGCTGCTTCTTCAATAATAATAATAATAATAATAATAATAATAATAATAATAATACGGGAATAGGATTTAAAGATAGAACTGCAAAGACTCTGGCACAAAAACACAGTATATCACAGCAAATGAGAGATATATATATATGAAATCCAGCATATATATCTCATTTGCTGTGACATACTGTGTTTTTGTGTCAGTAAAATAATAATAATAATAATAATAATAATAATAATAATAGGATTTAAAAATAGAACTACAAAGACTCTGGCACAAGCCAGTAATAGTGGTCCCAGTGTGATCGCACACTGGGTGCAGTGCTTAAAGACCTTGGCCTGCACTTAAAAACACTCAGAACTGACAACATTACTATCTGTCAGCTTCAAAAGGCGTCTCTGGCTGCTTCTGGATCGAGAGAATTGGCCATCTACGAAGACGTTGCCCAGGGGACACCCGGATGTCTTGCAATCCTGCGAGGAGGCTTCTCTCATGTCCCCCAGACACAGTGAAGACATCTGCCCTTGCGCTATGCTACTCTGCTGCTGAGTATGCATGCCCAGTGTGGAACACATCTCACCACACTAAAACAGTAGATGTGGCTCTTAATGAGACATGCTGCATTATCACAGGGTGTCTGCGCCCCACACCACTGGAGAAATTACACTGCTTAGCCGGTATTGCACCACCTGACATCCGCCGGGAAGTAGCAGCCAATAGTGAAAGGACCAAGGCAGAGACATCTCCAGCTCATCCCCTGTTTGGGTATCAACCAGCACGTCAACGACTTAAATCAAGACATAGTTTTCTTAGATCTACAGAGACACTCGCTGGAACACCCCAGCAAGCGAGAGTCCAAAAGTGGCAGGCCCAAACCCAGCACCTCAATCCATGGGTGATACCAGATGAGAGACTCCCCCCTGGGCACACAGAAGACTGGGCGACTTGGAAGGCGCTGAACAGACTGCGCTCTGGCACCACGAGATGCAGAGCCAATCTTAAGAAATGGGGCTACAGGGTGGAATCCTCGGCATGCGAGTGCGGAGAAGAACAAACCACTGACCACCTGCTGCAATGCAACCTGAGCCCAGCCACATGCACGATGGAGGACCTTCTTGCGGCAACACCAGAGGCACTCCAAGTGGCCAGATTAATTTGTCAACTACCAAATTAACCAACTACCAAATTTGCAAAATCTGTGTGTTTTTTTTTCTTTTTCTTTTTAATCTGTGTGTTTTGCTCTGTTAGAATTGTAATACAATGGTTGGTGATGACACGATAAATAAATAGCTTCAAAAGGCCACCCTACTCAGATCTGCACACATTATTCACCAATAGATTACACAGTCCTAGGCACTTGGAAAGTGTCAAATGTGTGATCAAGTACAAAGGCCAGCATGGTGATCTTGTTTGCTGTGTACTAATCTTGATAAATAGAGTGAAATAATAATAAAAATATAAACTTTATATATATCCCTATCTTCCCGTAGGGACTCAGGGCAGTTTACAACAAATCGGCAAACATTCAGTGCCATAAGGTGCTGGACAAAGAACAAAACAACCAAAACCATCCAAGTTCCACAAAACAAATTGACATTATCAAAATTGAGGGATAACATCATAATTATAAATTCACACCTAACTTAAGGAAAACAAACAAAGAACAAGACAAACAAGATAAAAAGTATTAAATTAGTTAAAACTTTATACTTTTTGTAAATGTTCTTGGAACTGCTGATAAAAGGCAGACAATAAATTGATTGAATAAATAAAATTACTGCTTTGAAATTATTGTTATATGAGCACACAAACCTTCACAAGATGAGTTATGGCATCTTTGAAAAATACCAAGTCAAGGAATCCACCTCTAACAGTTTCATTATACTGTTTCTGGTAAGACTGCAGTTTCTCAGATAAAAATTCAAGGCTTGGAATCTGAAAAGACAGAAAACACCTAAATCCAATAGCTAGTTTCAACAAAAATTGACTTAATGAAGAAACATAACTTCAGCCCCCCCCCCCCCCGAAATTCTCATGGTTGTCCGCGAGAAGGCCTTACTGGTACATTATTTAAACTGTTATGTTTATTCATATCATGATCTGATCACCATGCTCAATATATCCCATATGCATGGGGTATTGGGGTAACGATACAAAAGGTTTGCTAGGGTAGACCCTCTTTCACTCAGACTCGCCCCCCCCCCCCCCCCCCCCCGAATCAAAATCCTGGGTATGGGCCTGATGGCAGTGTAATCATATAATCCAGTTCAAAGCAGATAACATGGATTATTTGCTTTGAGAATCTGTATTATATGATAGGGTAGGGTGAGTTTTAGGGGCCTTCCTGATAGGTCCTATATCCCAGGATCTGATCCAAGGTTTTTGGTTTATCCCAGATTATCTGGTGATTTATATATTATAGTTTAAAATAAAAAAATCTAGGATCAAATCCTGGGATATAGGGCCTGTCTGCAAGGGCCCTCAGGCCCCTTCTAAACTGCAAATAAAATCCAGATTGTCTGCTTTCAACTAGATTATATGACAGTGTAGACTCATATAATCCAGTTCAAAGCAGATAATGTGAATTATCTGATTTATTAATCTGGATTTTATACGGTGGTATAGAAGGGGCCTAAGGCTTTGAATTGGATTATACAGCTGTATAGACTCATACAATCCAGTTCAAAGAAGATAATGTGGATTATCAGAGCAATATCAAAGCAGATAATGTGCTTTTATAATTTTTATTATATGGCAGTGTAGAAGGGGCCAAAGTCCTCTTCTACGCTGTCATATATAATCCAGATTATCAACTTTGAACTGGATTGTGTATCAGTGTAGATTCATATAATCCAGTTCAAAGCAGATAATGTGGATTTTCAGCATTGATAATCTGGATTATATTGCAGTGTAGAAGAGGCCTTAATATCTCTAAAGACAAATAAAACTAGTTTTCTGCAACCAGTTGTCTGGAGATTATTGCACATTATCTGGATTTAAGGTTAACAAAATAAAAACCAAGGTCATCAAAAATTTGTAACAGAAAGACAGACAAAAAATGACAAAAGACCCAGGATTTCAAATAGAAAGAGGCCCCTTCTGGACTACCATATAATCTAGTTTATCAAAGCAAATAATCCACATTATTTGGTTTGAACTGGATTATATGACTCTACACTGCTATATAATCCAGTTCAAAGCATATAATTTGGATTTTATTTGGCACTCATGCATCCAATTCTAATTTGCAAGTAGTGATGAAAGTATTTTTAAGTTACACTCAATTTATAATGGCCACAAATGTATTGGATTTAGCAATTTGTACAGATATATAACATTCTTTTTGTATTACATTATTATTTTCTGCAAACAAATAAGAGAAAAACTTGAACTCTAATAAATTACATACCAATTCATAAATCTTTGGTGCCTCAAACACATAATCTTCAGGTTCTTCACCAGTTGGTTCAGGCATATCCCTCAAAAAGTCTACTAAATATGGCTCGGCTTGGACTTCTGGTAATAATTCAGGATCTATGTGTTCCTCAACTACTTTATTAAAACTGTTTCCAAACCAAACCTCATCCTCTTCGCGAACAAATCTACAAAACAAAGATCATAGCAGATTCTGATAGAAAAGCATAATGGGATCCCTCTTCCAATTGTATGTTAAAGAATTCATACAAACGGGGGGGCGGGGACTCAACATGCAGATAATTGTGGAATTTAAATCAGATACATCTTTTTAAAAGGTAAGATAATAATCCACTACCACAAAGCTGTTTATCCTCAATTAAGCCACTCAAATGTAAAATGAAAGGGACTATTGTAAGTTACCTCCTATAAGGTTTGGTTAGACTTCTTATTCCTATAAGAAACCTCCTGACACATCCTCAAACTACCTCTTCCCACTTAAATTGCCTTATACTGGCATGATGTTACGTTCTGACTGCCTCCAAGTTTGCTTAAGCCTCACCTATGAATGGAGAAGATTAAAAATATATAAATTACAGATGATCTAAAATTGCAAAGTATAATAAGCCATTCTGTCCCTCCCTAACAATATATGTTTTTGGTATTTCTGTTGCTGTGCTGCAGGCTCCTGTGATATATAGATTTAATTAACTTTCTAAATTTTATTTGCAGTCCTTACATCATAAGGTAAAAAGGAAAGTGAATGAGGATATGCCACAAAATTTCATTCCTGGAAAAATATATCCAGAGCATTCTCTAGAACCCGATTCCCTTCTTTCTTTTTGGTATCTGTGAAGGGCAACTATTGTCTGACATCAGCCTAGGGAACCCAGCCTATACGCATCTTCCATATTCCTTTCTCTTCCAGCAGGTTAAGGACAATGTAAGTTCATCCAAATGAAAGAGGGGGGAAAGCACCAGATCCTACCATATTGAAATGAAGGAAAAGTAGGAAAATCCAGCCTACTTTTTAAATGTTCATTTTTGCAACAATGGTTACATATCATGCTGATATTTGCAGCAAATGTTCACTTTTGCAACAATGGTTAGGTATCATGCTGTCATGTTGTTGTTGTTGTTGCCGTTGTTGTTGAGGAAGAACTTCAAATGATGAATGCACTTGCATCTGTGGTCATCTCAAGCTTTACTGCATTGTAAAACAGCCTTACTGTACATTGACATGCTGCAGCCTTGTGTGTGTGTTTTAATAAGCTGGATTTCATTTACTTGGAGCTCTTTTACAACGCACAATAACAGCCCTATGTCCCCATTCTAACTGCTATGGCTGCATTATTTGGATTCCTGAGGTTTACAATATGATGGGACACTAGAGATTTCTGGCTGGTACTTACCAATGTCGCTCTATAAACTACAGCTCCCAGGATTCAGTGGGGTATTCTATGGCAGGGAAATTGAATCATAGCACTATAAACTACAGCTTCTTCCGGTTGGTGGCTGGAAGATGGCGGACGTCTCTGAGTCCTTGGAACGAGGGCTCCGGAGCAACCAGGTTTTGAAAAGTCAGGGGGCACCCCCCTCCTCTGCAGATGGTCTAAGGTAGCAGAGGCTATACCCAAGTGCCATCGGCCGACGGCATCCAAGCGGTGTCCCCCTCAAGGGGACACCCAGAGACGCCCGGCAACGGGGCACACAGGGTGGACGCAACTCCATGGTGGGAGACTTTCGTCTCCAACCCCCCCATCAGCCGCCAACACAATGAACAGAAGAAATCTAAACCAAGAATTAATTGGGATCGAAAGCGAACAGCCTCCCGGGGCACCAATCGAATTGGAAGGTTAAGTAAAAACTTTATTTTAACCACAAGACGGAAAGTTTGTCGGAAAAGGACTAGGAACGGGGCGCTCCATATCAAGAAAAAAGGTAAGCAAGAAGAGAGGAGCGTATAGGAAGGTGAGAGAGAAAGAGACGAAAGGACCAGTTTCAAAAATCAAAGTGGCGCAGAGAGCAGAGCGAAAGAAGAAGAGAGAGAGGGGGGAGAAAGGAGAGGAGAAAAGGGAGAAACAAGAAAGATAAGAGGAGGAAAGAAGAGCCAAGAAATACAGAGGAGGGAAGCAGCGAGGAAACGCAGAGGAAAGAATCAAGCCAAAAGAACTAAAAGAAATAAAACCAAAATAAACCAAACTAACCAATAGCCACAGTCGGGTAGAGCGAGATGCTCCCTCCCGCAAGGGACAGCAAAACAACGAAAACCAGAAGGCCCTCGCACCCAAAGGCCAGTCATTAAAGGGGCAGACCGATGGGAACAGGAGGGCAAGGGTTTCGGTAATGGTATAGCGGACTGTGGACTGAGCGAAGACGAAAGCGACAAAAATAAGGGCATGAATATTACGTTGGAGTAGAAGGAGAAAGCGCTGAGCGTAGAGCGTAGAGAAATATCAGACATTAAGAAGAGAACGGCTTCCCCCCCCACTCTGCTACTCTTCCCTCCCTTTGGTTTCCTCACACACAAGATCCTGACCTTGGAAATGCGCTGGGTAAAGTCAACAAGGGAGGACAGCAGATAAGCGCCGGCGTTGGTTTATCTGCGAGCCCCAGAAAGCGTCCTTGGAGAGGCGCCGCAGCGGGCCGGACTCCCCGCCCATTCAGGAGATAACAAACAGGAAAGCAGCGCGGGGAAGCCGCGCGAAGTCGCGCGAGACATCTCGAGGGCTGCGGAAGTGGCGCGAGAGAAGGAAATCCCCAGCGAGACTTCAAAATAACAGGTTCTTCGAAATATCGCGAGAAGATAAAGGGGAAACCCGAATTTAATTTAATCCAGTGAGAGGGAAATAAAATAGTCGCGAGAAAGAAGGAGAGAGAGGGACTCTTGGGACAGACACTCAGCTACTGGATTAACTGAAGAGGTAAGCAACTGAAAGGCAAAGGGACAGGGGAGGAGAAGGAAATAACGAGAGGAGGTGTAGGGCAGTAAAGAGAAACGGATAAATAAAATAAACCTGAAAAATAAATAACTTGACAAGCCAAAATACTAAAGTACCTAGGGGAGTACCAATATCCATACAGGGGTACAAATAAATAAACAAAAATCTTTTGGAGGTAATAGAGGAAACAAATAAACTGGGAAAACAAAACAATCATGGCAGCACAAAATATAAAAGGAAAAAATCTACAATCAACCAAAAGTCAAGCAAGAAGAGACTCACTAAGCAAACCAGATTTACAAATAGAGGGACAAACAAAAAGAGACTCTACGTCTGAAGGCACAGTATTAGATAACATCCTGGCAGAGATTAAGAAGCTCTCGGAGAAGCATGATGAGCAACATAAGGAATTACAAGCAGAAATACAGAGCATGAAAAAAGAAATAAAGGAAGAAATCACGAAATTAAAAGAAGATGTTGACAAGGTTAAAAAAGAAAACCAAAAAATAATTAAAATTCAAGGAAAAGCCGAAACAAAGATGAACAAACTAGAAACCCTCACCCAAAAAATACAACAACAGGCTGAAAGACTGGAGTACAGGGAGTCTGAGTACCAGCTAAGAATTCGAAATCTTCAAGAAGTCGAAGACGAAAATGTAAAACAAAATATGATTGAACTTTTAGCAGAACTACTGGATGTAGGCGCTGATATTGTGGGGCAGGATGTGGATCGAGTATATAGAGTACCCACGGAATACGCCAAAAAACACAAGACCCCCCGGGATGTGGTCATTAGCTTTTGCCGCAAAAGCACCAGGGATGAAATCCTGAAGGAAAATGTAAAAAAATCAATATTTTTCAAGGACAAAAAGGTAACAATTATGAAAGAAATCCCGCAACAGATATTGGCAAGACGTAGGAGGTTCACTTTTCTTACTCAAGAACTAATTAGAAAAAAAAATTTAGATGGGAAAAAACGGACGGAATTACGGTAACGATGAATGATAAAAGATACTGGTTAAATTCAGAGGAGAGTGCGAAAGCATTTTACAACGACCCCATCAAAGGGAAAGCAACAGAACCAACACAGAGAAAATTTCAAGACAACGGATATACAGGACACCCTAGTGGAAACAGTAGAGAAACAAGGACAGAGAAGGAAACAGAAGAAGAGGAAGAGAAGACCGAAAAAGGAGCATACAAATGGCCGAGGTCGACACAAGAGGAAGAAGACGAAAGAGACCAAAAAAGACTGAGGGAGTTTTCCCCAGAAAATTATCAATTGATAGTGCCTCCAGAAATGTTGCAGTGGGAAATGCCTGAAAGTAATCAATCATGAATAGAAAACCTATCAAAATTTATTCTAACAACATCAACGGCTTAAATTCCCCTAATAAAAGGAGAAAATACTTCAATTTTCTAACAAAAAAAATATGACTTGATAATGATTCAAGAGACCCACATAAGCGATAGACATTCCAAGCATCTAACGCAAGACAAATTAGGGAAGGTGTTCCAAGCATCTTACAGTGAGGAGAAGAGAGGGGTTGCAACTTACGGTAAAGAATGGCTGAACCCTAAACAAATGTTTAGAGACACACAAGGAAGATTCTTAGGTATCACTATTGAAATAAAAAATCAAAAAATACTATTGTGTAATATATATTGTCCTAATGGTCCAAAGATGAAGTTTATTAAAAAGCTGGAAAATGAGATAAGAAAGGTTGAATATGACGAGCTACTTATTATAGGTGATTTTAATGGAATAGTGGATGGTACACTAGATAAATCCCAAAATAAAGGGACAAAGGCAAAGGGCATAAACAGAAATAGTTTATTACCTAAAAACTTCATCTTACGATTAGAAGAACTTAATCTAAAGGATGTATGGAGACACCACAACAATACAATGAGAGACTTTACATATTATTCTGGAAGGCATGACTCGTGGTCACGAATCGATATGGCCTGGGCCACAAACTCTTTAAGTATAAAAATAAGAAAAATCAATATAATCCCAAGGACCTTTTCGGACCACGGTGCCCTAGAGTTAGAGTTCAAAGGAGAGACGCCACAGTATAGATGGAGACTAAATGAAAATCTACTGAAAAAAGAAACTGATATAGAAAGGAATAAGAAGCTATTAATGGAATATTTAGATTTAAATAAAGGAGAGGAAACTTCAAAAATTACCCAGTGGGAAGCATTGAAAGTAGTTATGAGGGGGTATTTAATTCAGCAAGCGGCTTACAGGAGAAAACAAAAAAACAAAGAAGTAACAGAAATAATGAATAAACTAAATAAAAATGAGGAAGCATTAAAAGAAAACCCAAAGGACAGAAAGTTAATATACTCTGCCAAAATATTGAGGAAACAAATGGAATTACTGCAAACAGAAAATATAGAAAAACAAATGAAGTTTAATAAGGTAAATTACTTCCAGAACGCCAATAAAGTTGGGAAGTGGCTGGCCAATAAAATTAAAAAACGAAGGCAAAAACAAACAGTTACAAAAATCATAACGCAAGGGAAAATATACACAGAAAGCCAAGACATAGCGGATCAATTCCACCAATTTTATAAGGAACTATATAAAAAAGTAAATATCCCACTAGAGAATGTCTCAGAATACCTGGGTAACTTAAGAATTCCCAAATTGGCAGAAACACAAAGAGAGGTTTTAAACAGTAGTATCACCCCTTGGGAAATCGATAAGGCAATCGATAAACTAAAACCTAACAAGTCGCCAGGCCCAGACGGCTATACAGCCATCTTTTTTAAGACATTTAAAAATGAATTAGGCCCCTTATTAAAAGATATCCTAAACAACATATTAGAAAACAAAACAATACCAAAATCTTGGGAAAAAACCAATATAACCCTAATCCAAAAAGAAGGAACAGACCCAACAGATGTTAAGAATTATAGGCCTATATCCTTGTTAAACACCGATTATAAAATATTCGCAATAATATTGGCAGAAAGACTAAAAAATTTCTTAAAAAATTGGATTTCTGGGGACCAGGTGGGCTTTCTACCCAACAGACAAATAAAAGATAATATTAGGATAATTATTGACTCAATAGAATATTACGAAAAACACAATGAAAAACAGCTAGCCCTAATGTTTATTGACGCTGAAAAGGCCTTTGACCGAATAAATTGGGATTACCTAATACTGCTAATAAAAGAATTAGACATGGGATTTCACTTCCAAAACGCGGTCGAGGCTATATACGCAAACCAGGAGGCCACCTTACTAATCAACGGTGAAGAGTTAAAAGATCCAATAAAACTATCGCAAGGTACACGCCAGGGATGCCCCTTATCCCCCTTATTGTTCATTTTAGTGATGGAAACATTGATTAGGATGATAAATGAAGACAAAGCACTTAAAGGACTAAAGGTAGGTAACTACAACCATAAATTGAGAGTCTATGCAGATGACGTGGAGTGCATAGTTGAGGATCCGATAAACAACATCAAAGATTGGTTAAAAAAGATAGAAAATTTTGGAAAGGTGGCGGGTTTCAAATTGAATAAACAAAAAACCAAATTATTAGTCAAAAACATGGACCAAAAAACAAAAGATATACTACAAGAAATTTCAGGTATAAAAATCGAAAACAAGGTGAGATATTTAGGGATTAACATTACAAAAAACAATATCAACCTGGTCAAAAATAATTATGAAGTATTATGGTCGAAAATACAAAAAGATATGAACAAATGGAAGTATATGAATTTCTCCTTATTAGGCCGAATCTCAATTGTCAAAATGACCATCTTACCCCAACTTTTGTTTCTTTTTCAAGCCCTACCGGTGTTAAGAAATGATCTCCTATTCAAGAAGTGGAAATCGGAGGTCACTAAATTTATATGGAAGGATGGTAGACCCAGAATTAGTTTTAAAATCCTAACGGATGAAAAAAAAAGGGGCGGGCTAGGTTTACCAGACTTTAAGGCCTATTACGAGGCATGTAATCTGGTAGCACTAAAAGAGTGGGCCACTTTGAAGAACAGACCATTACTACCGTTAGAAGATCACGAGCTCAGGTACGGGTGGCACGGGTACCTTTGGTATAACAAAAGAAAGACAGAGAAAGCCTTCAATGACCACTATATAAGAGCGGCCCTAATAAGAACGTGGGAAAAATATAGACCCAGATTATACTCTAAAACCCCGTTGTGGATATCCCCTTCAGAAGCTAAACATAAAAGAGAATTAGAGGAAAAAAATTGGTTAACATACCAACACTTACTAAAGAAAAACGGGAATCTAGTATTAAAATCGATAGATGAAGTAAAACAGCTAAACAATAAGATTACATGGTTAAAATATTACCAAATACACCAGGATTTTAAAGAAGACGAAAAAACCGGTTTCAGTCAGGATCAGGGAACATGGGACATAGTGATGAAGAAAGAGAGGAAAGTAATCAAACTCCTTTACCAGCAATTACTTACGTGGTCCACAGAAGAAGAAGAAATCAAAGACTGCCAGGTAAAATGGGCAAGGGACATAGGACATAGTATCTTAATAAAACAGTGGGAAGAAATTTGGACGAGAAAAATAAAATATATAGAAGCCAGCGATATGCGAGAAAATTGGTATAAAATGTTTTTTAGGTGGCACTATACCCCAGAAAAAATATCTAAATTCAATAACAAGGGTTCAAATTTATGCTGGAAATGTGAAGAAGAGAAGGGGACCTTTCTCCACCAATGGTGGTCCTGTAAATTAGTTTAAAAAAATTGGAAGGACATACGTATAGCAATACAAAAAATAGTCAAAGCAAATTTCCCCCAAAAACCGGAAATACACCTATTAGGAATTATAAATACAAAATTAGACCCAAACCAAGAAAAGATAATCTTCCTCCTCAGCACAGCCGCAAGAATGCTCCTCGCAAAGGTATGGAAGCTGAAAGAAGTACCAACCTTGGAAGATTGGGTCCTGAAAACATTGGACATTATCCAAATGGACAGTTTCTCACTAAGACTTAAGGGATCTCTCAACCGTACAGACTGGTCTGGCTTCAAGGAATATATTATAGCTAAAGAGCTCCCTGTACACATCGATCTGTCCGGTATTTGAATAAAAGAACTAGAGAAGTCCAACTCGGCACTGGGATGAAGAAGCAACAGGAAACGAAGATACCCGGAAGACTGACGGGAAGCGATAACCCCCCCCCCTTACCAGACCCTTCATATCCCCCACACCGTCCCTTACTTTCCCTCTAACCCAGCCCCCACATACATACCGTGCACCCCCCCCTCCCCCTCCCCACCCCCCTCCTGTCCCACCCCCCCTATCCCTGATGGATGTATATTTATAAATCTCAATAAAAATGATTACAAAAAAAAAAAACCTACAGCTTCTAAAAGTGCCCCAGGATTTGGTTTTCAACTGTATAACCTCTGCTCTATGGGTCATCTCTATATACAAGCTACTTCATTACACTAGATAATCCACTTTAAATCTGGTTTTGCCTCCTGCAGAAGTCTGGAATTTGTAGTTTAGTGAGGGTATTAAAGACTCCTCCCTAAACTACAAACCCCAGATTTCTGCAGGAGGCAGCAACCACATTTAAAGTAGATTCATCCTCCAGTGTGGGTTTTATAATGAGATCCAAGTGGGCAAAGGTAGATGTCTTATCTTTCTACTTTTCAAAAAAGGGCATCATCTTACCTATCAGCAATTACTCTGGTACATTCATGTTTAAATAGTGACAGAAGGCTACTAATATCACAACATTCTTCTGATTTGACTGTTAACATTCCTTGCCAAATTCTGGAAAGGTCTCGCAGATTGAAGATATAGTGAAATTTGGATGGCGTGGGCAGCATCTTCACCTAAATCAAACAGATATACAATGATCTATTTAAAGTGCTAATAAGCATATGAAATCAGTGTGACGTACCTTGTAAAACCACACACAAACCCACAGACATTTTCTTATAGCTATATCCAGGTTTCTCAGATCTTTAACTAGAACCAATGAAAAATGTCACTGCCATCAGTATGTGGACTATGCCAAAGGAATTTTTGGGCATGACACATCTAATGAAACATGAAATGGAAACTATGTATGAGACAAAGAAGAGTTGTCAACAGAAAAGGGAGAGGAACACTTCTTACCCTCCTTCACCAAATTTAGAAACATGATCCATCCCATATATAAAAGACTCCAATTTATTTGTTGCTAGAGCCCCACATTTACCGTAGCTAGACACCATAAAAGCAAGACACAGACTTACAATTACACACACACACACACAAATACACATACACCAAGGAGACAAAATTCAGAAAGCAAAGAGAGAAAAGAGAAGGCAGAAGAGGGATAAATTTTAAGTCTGAATTACCTTCCCTTGTTAATAATGTGCAATTGCAATTGCAATTTTGGATAATAACAATTAGTGACTTTTCTGTAGGCACAGGGCAATGAACAAATAGGGCAGAAATATTTTTAACAGAAGGAGCAATTATTAAGCCACCCAAGATATTTGCAATCCACACTTCTTTGTGTGGTGGAGGGTACCAGACTATAAGTAGTCTGGCAGCTGTATTCATGCCTGAGCAGCCCTTTTTAGAAAAGGTGTCCTAAACATAGTCTGCCTCTTTTATCCCTGAATGGACTGCCACGTCCAGAGGGGTCATCATCTTGTGACCAAAAAAGAAAAATGAACTTTGGAATATGGAGTGCAGGGATATTGTTGGACAACAAAGGTAGTGAATGCCCTGAACGCAGGACTGCTGACATAGCAGCACTTCAGGAGACCCAGAGAGCAGGAGAGGGACAGCAGAAGGAAGAAAAAGGAGGTGCCACCTTTTTCTGGAAGGGACTCCCTGAAGAAGAATGAAAAATACATAATGTCAGCTTTGCTATCAGAAACAACCTGGTGAAGCATCTGCGCGAAGCACCCATCGGCATTAATGAACGACTCTCAACCCTCCAAATTAACTTTGCCAAAAACAAACAGGCAACTATCAGAAGTGTTTATGCGCCAGCACTAGATGTTGATGAAGACATCAAGGAACATTTTTACAGTCAGCCGGACACTATCTTGTCGGAGATACCTAAAGAGGACAAAATCATCCTCCTGGGTGATTTTAATGAGAGAGTTGGACGAGACTTTGACCTGTGGCCAGGAACCATAGGAAAAGATGGGGTTGGAAAAAGCAACCCGAATGGCATCCTGCTTCTCATAAAATGTTCGGAACACAACCTTGTAATCACAAACACACTTTTCTGCCAGAAAAACAAGCTTAAGATATCATGAAAGCACCCCTGGTCAAAGCATTGAACCTCTTGCAATTAAAATTCTGAAGCAAAAAAAAAAAAAGTTCGGCAGTCTCAAGGCCTGCAAATATTAGTTGCAGATATTTTAACATTATCAGCTTTTCTAGAGGCCAAAATGAATAAACAGTTCAATACCATCTTTACTTCAGATTAGAAATACATGAAAAGCCTATAATGCTTGCCCTATATAAATAACATGTAACAGCACATTTCAGCTCTGAATAGTAAATCTATTGCTATAGTTTATACCTTAGTCCATTGCCACAATATTCTGCCGGCTGAAACTAATTTCATGATCATATCACATACTTCCGGCTTGAAATTTCTACATGGATGAAAGTATCCACATCCAATTATTCCTTGGAAAAACAAAAGCACACTGTTATGGTTAAAATCATAGTATGATTTCAACTAAAAAATTAAATGATTTTCTTAGGAAGGACTGATCTCTAAGTATACATCAGGAGCAAGAATTAAAGATTAATAGGACCAATTAGACCAAATATTTTGTTAAATCAGGCTTTTTATTTTAATTGTTTTGCAGTAATTGTATTTTAATATTTATATATATCTTTTTTAAAACAAGGTAGTACTACAAAACTGAAGTCTGGTGAATGGCTGTTTTGACTACAAATGCAGCAAAACAGAGCACTCCAATTGTAGAAGAAAAGATATTATGGATATAAAAAAAGCATGAGTCACATATGAGTTATGTTGTCACTTGATTATACAAACAAAACTCTAATAATTTAAACCAGAAATATACTTAATACACTTCCAAGACACAACATATCCAAAGAAGAAGGTATGAAGGGCAAACATTTAAGTGATGATCTATCACTGTTGGCTATCAAGACAAAAGCACCCAGGTTGCCTTCACTACCTGCCTCCACCACTACTAAACCCTGAAATCACACAGTCTTCAGTGTGGACACTGTTATAATGCATACCCAATCATTATCAATTTATAATTTAATCAAAATACTTATGTGAGATAGGTTAAGAAGGACCCTTTCCAAAATAAGTAAGGAAGGAAGGAAGGAAGGAAGGAAGGAAGGAAGGAAGGAAGGAAGGGGAAGGGGAAGGGGAAGGGGAAGGGGAAGGGGAAGGGGAAGGGGAAGGGGAAGGGGAAGGGGAAGGGAAAGGGAAAGGGAAAGGGAAAGGGAAAGGGAAGAAAGGGAAAGGGAAAGGGTAGGGGAACAGAAGGGGGAAAACTGAGAGCACATGGAAGAGGGTGAACAATCTTTGGAAGAATTTGTTAGAAAGAATTTAAGAGTTTTTTGAGAAGTGTGAAGAGTCAATTTCTTTGACAGATAAGGAAGGGATTGGCGATGGAAACAGGTGGCAACCTCCTGATTTAAAATTAAATCATATCAATTTGCCTCTCCTGGGTAATGATTAGGAAACAACAGTACACTTCCCTATGCCCCCCATGCAGCTCTCAGTTATTAGAGATAGTGAACTAAAAATGTCTAATAGAAACATTCAGAATTTGATTTCTTGTTCCAATTTTGCATTTATCTGGCTGTATGAAGACATTATTAAGAGGAAAATGATAGTAAGAGGGTTTTTTGCAAGACAATTGATTAAATTCAGTTTAACATTATGGGAAAAAAACTCATACCATACCAAAAATTTTATCTATGGATGCATTGGTCGGCAGGGTGCAGTTAAACACAGTAAATTGCCTTTTTAAGCGCTGTGGGATATCATTGCGGCCTCCTCCTGGGTGAATCATTGCCGCCATCAACTGTACATCAACAATTGTAGTAAAGTCTCCAGGCTTATCCAAGCTGTACATCCCTTCCATTTCCATCATCTGACGCACTATTTCATTTGTCACCTGAGCAGTTTTTAGAAGAAGCATCTCTCATTGAAAAGAAAGTAATAAAGGTGGATCCCTATCTGTTTAGCAAAATACTTTTTTACTTCTTTTCTAGGGTATGACATTTACATTAGAACAAAATGAACCATGATTAGCAACGTATATGATTTGTTCCATTGAAATCAATAGGACTTACATGCATCTGAATTTTTCCAAATCATATTAAGCCTGTACACAGTTTAATAAGAAACCATTACCTTTAAGACTATTTGATTCTGAAGGCAAAAATAATATGTACTAATTCAGAAAAATTTCCAAAAATGTTAGCAGACATATGAAGATTAGTTATTCTGAATTAGTGATCTACACACACTACACAATTATAGAACTGTGTTCCAATTTGAATACCATGGCAACAGCCCACCAGCCAATCTTAATCCTTGGTCAGCCACATATGGAGAGAGGTGTTCCCTCACGTAGCAAGGTACCAAGCCATTTAGGGCTTCTAATTTTAGCACAAGCACTGACTTCAGCCTGGTCAGAGCAATTCTTCTACAACTAGCATATTATACTGACCATATAGTAGTGCAGACATCAGTCAAGCTGTTGCATTTTTGCTCTAGCTGCACCTTCTCAATCTTCTTCAAGGGCAGTCCTACATATGGCACATTATAGCAATCTAAACAGCAGGTGACTTATGAACTGTACCTAGCGTACCAGTTCAAACTGAAGGCAAGTACTCTGTGCCACAGTCTACTTGAGTCTCCAGTGACTGAGGCCCCTTCCACACAGTTGTATAAAATCCACACTGAACTGGATGATCTCGCAGTGTGGATTCAGACAATCCAGTTCAAAGCAGATATTTTGGATTATTTGCCTTGATATTCTGAATTATATGGCTGCATGGAAGGGCCCAAAAATGGCTACAGGGATAGCCCCAAATGAATGTGAATGGGGTCCAGGTTATTAGTCAACGTAGCATAGTATTGCCTAATGTGTTTGGAAGCAGCCCACCAAGATTTGAGAAGTTTGATAAACTTCTTCAGGTGCTAAACCTAAAGTCTTCTGCATGCAAGCATGCGCTATCCCATTTGCACTATGGACCTGTTCTTTCTCTATCTTATTTATTTATTTATTTATTTACTATATTTGTATACCGCCTTTCTCAGTCCTTAGGCAACTCAGGGCGATTTACAATGGCAATGATTTGAAGCCCAAAAACACCACAAAACATTTAAAAACATTAAAACATAATATAAAACCATAACAAGAATACTAAAAGCATATATCATTTGCATCTCCTAATAAAAACATTGTCCAATCTCGTTGTCCAATCATTCTAATTCCTATGTCTTTTACTTTGCATCTTAGGCCCCTTCCACACAGCTGAATAAAATCCCACATTATCTGTTTTGAACTGGAATATAAGGCAGTGTGGACTCAGATAACCCAGCTCAAAGCAGATATTGTGGGATTTTCCACCTTGATATTCTGAATTATATGGCTGTGTGGAAGGGTCCTCAGTAAGAATCTCATCACAATGTACTTAATACATCCAAATGAAAAAAAACTAATTGAGACCCTGGACTCCACTGACCTTGTTGGCTGTGGATTCTGAGAGTCATAGTCTTAAAAAGAATCATCCAAGCTCTTCAGAGAACTATACCCTAGACTGCTTGCATTTATAAGAATTCTATTAATTTACTGATAGATAGTATCCCAAAAGACATATAGCCATTCCAACACACTTTCAAGATACATACATATTTCATCACAAGTAAAAAAAAATCCCTACAGAGGTGTATTCTATTAAATATTATAAAGTGTAGTAGTCTATTTCCATTATTTGATTAGCAAAGATGTATACCAGATTACAGTACTATAACATTTAATATGTATATCCATTAGTACCATACCAATAAATATTTTGAACACAAATAGTTTGTTTTTTAAAAGCATTTTAGTGATATAATTTTAGTGATATAACTCTGTAACTATGTATAAATATCAGAACTGTACCTGATCTCCCCATTCATTAATAATTGGCATGTTAATATCATCAATGAATATGGTCATTTTCCTGCCTCCTGGGGGCCCATAGGTACTGCCCATTCGTTTGTCCACATAACTTTCTATTGTCCTCTTAGGAATTAAGTAACACAAAAGAGAGGGGAAAGATGTAAATGAATGATTTACAAATCTCATTATTTGTGTAGTTGGTTGTGTGAAATTTGTGTTCCAACTGGACTTGGAGTAAGTGATACACATCTTCTCAACTCAGAAACATAAATACCAGAGATATAATATTTTTTGCTATTTTCATTCTTCAAGAAAACAATTTTAGCAATTTTATTCCCACTGCAAGAAACCCTTTGAAAAGGGGGCAATATTCCAACTTTGTGCACACAATTTGCATGTGCTATTTCTCATAGAATGCAGCAGATATCAGCCCATAAATGTAACTTTTGTGCAGAAAATGTTCACACATGGATACCCTCCCCTCACCAAAATAGGGTGTTTTCTTTTTTTTCAGAGAACAGCATTTTCTGAATCAAAAACAATATTTTAGTTTGAACTGCACAAAATATGCTGTTCTCTCTACAAATTCTGGTCAGTTTCAGAATTCTCCTCAACTTAGATTTATACTTGGATAATTCCAAAGCATTTGGAATGGTTTTTGGAAGAGTTTTTTGTACAGAACCAGCTAATAAAAGCAATAGCTTACCTGAAACATTCCAGGTTCGGTTGCTGAAGAAAAGTTCAAAGCTTTTGATAAGTGCTCTTCAGGATCATATTTTTTTAAATAACCTTTAATCATAACTGTTTTTGCTGTTCCTTGCTCACCAATAAGCAACACCGCCTGTCACAATGGTGGAACCGTTGTTGTTATTAACATTCATGCTACATAACAAAGTTAGAGCTATATAACTGCAACAATGATTTTAAAAATGATAATGATGATGATTTAAACTAAACAAAAATGTGCAGGTGACTATTCTGGTTTATTTTCTACTACATTACTAATTTCAAAATGAATCATTTTCTGTTCAGTGAGCTCCCACAAAAAAAAGAATCATATCACTGCTGTGCAAGAGATGGCATCTGTATAGTTAGGAGCTGTGGTGGCACAAAGAGTTAAACCCTTGTGTCAACTGAACTGCTGACCTGAAAGTTGGCAGTTTGAATCTGCAAGATGGGGTGAGCTCCCATCTATTAGTTTCAGCTTCCCATGAAGGGACATGAAAGAAGCCTCCTGTAGGATGGTAAAACATCTGGGCACCTCCTGGGCAGTGTCCCTGCAGATGGCCAATTCTCTCACACCAGAAGCAACTTGCAGTTTCTCAAGTCGCTCCTGGCATGGAAAAAAAATCTGTATAGTTGGATGGTCCTAAGGTTTATAGACAACAGGAGAAAGCCTGACAACATTTTTTAAAAATAATAATAATTAAGGACAGTGAAAAAGCTGCCCCATAAAAACTTAGTGGCATGAAAAATAAATAAATCTATTACAAAGGGTGAAAAAGAATGAAATTGCTGGAACGGGGGCACAAAAATATTTTAAAGATGGAAAGATGGACTTAATTATTTCCTTAATGCAGTTCCTTGTGCATACTTAAAATGGCCATGCCGAAGGAAGAAAGACCCATGTATAAATAAAACTGAAAATTATTATTATTGTTTTACTGACACAAAAACACAGTATGACACAGTGAACAAGATATTCGAGTTTGAGGTCCTGATAACAGCTGAGTCATTATTATTATCATCATTATTATTTTTATTAATTATTTTTATCCCACTTTTCTCTCATGGTTGGGATTCAAGACGGCGTATAATGTTAAAAGCAACAAAATTACAGACATAAAATTCAACAAAAAACATCATTATGAAAAGAAACAGATTACACCATTCATAACCAATGGTCCAGCGTGCGGCAGCCAGGTTGCTAACAGGAGTGGCGCTCAGGGAGCACACAACTCCCCTGTTGCATCGTCTCCACTGGCTGCCAGTTTGCTACCGGGCCCAATTCAAAGTGCTGGCTCTAGCCTATAAAGCCCTAAATGGTTCCGGCCCAGCCTACCTATCCAAACGCATCTCTTCCTACGAACCCTCCAGGAAGTTAAGATCATCTGAGGAGGCCCTGCTCTCGATCCCGTCTGCTTCGCAAGCACGCTTGGTGGGGACGAGGGACAGGGCCTTCTCTGTGGTGGCCCCTCGGCTGTGGAACCTTTTGCCTAGGGATATTGGATCAGCCCCCTACCTCCTGACTTTTCGGAAGAGAGTAAAAACCTGGCTCTTCGAGCAAGCATTCGGAACCCCGGAATAGATAGTCAAGCTTGAGATGGAGAATGACCCAGGAATGGCCAAGACGATGAAACGGACGAGGATTGGAATGAGAGGATATAGCTCTTTTTAAATTGTTATTTCACTGTCTTTTTTGTTTAAATGCACTTAATTGTCTTTGCTTTTGAATGTATGTATTGATGGCATCGAATTGTGCTGATATGTAACCGCCCTGGGTCGCCTGCAGGCTGATATGGGCGGGATATAAATGATGTAAATAAATAAATAAATAAATAAATAACCCATATAAAGCTATTAATAGTTTAAAACTGCAACATATACTATTAAAATATATAAATGTTATTTTAAAAATGTGATTAAACTGTTTTTCATCCTTTAAATTATTTTTAAAAGCAATAAAAAGGCAAAAGAACTAATTGAATAACACTGTTAAGAGCCCTGGTTATGTGTTTTTTACCTTCTACAACAAAAAGAGAATCATCTTACTAGCCACACTACAGAGAAAGAGTCTAAGGATCTCATCACACTGAGGTCCAATTTGTGGAAAATTTGCCAGACAGCATGGTGAATACAGCAGGCACCATCGAAACCGTTGCCCTATATTGCCCCCTTTTCCATCCCACAGGCGGAAACATCACCATCTGGCTTCTCCCCATTCTTTCCTATGAGCACACAGGAAGCCTCCTGTGTTCTTTGGGCAGCATCTTACCATACTGCCAGGATACTGGAAGACAGAACCCCACTGGAAGTAGTCTTCCTTCTTTTTAGTTACTAGTGTTAGACTCCTTCATTTTCCCTGACTTTTTTATTATGCAGCCTTGTCAATAGAATATGTTTGCTTCCTTCCCCTTTTATAAGCAAAGGGGTATTAGTACAAAATACTCTGAAACCAGCAGATTGGACTGTAACAACTATAACATAGTGATTTATACTCTTATTCCACACATCTGGCTCAATCTGACACCATGGTCAATGGCACCAAGAGCTCCTTAACGATCTAGGAGAATCAACAGGATATCTTTCACCCTTTCTTCATCCACAATAAGTTATCCATCAGATAAACTTAATGCCATTTCCAAACTGAAATATTAATGTGAATCCAAACTGAAATGGGCCCAGATTAACTGCTTCCTCTTGGAACCACCGAAGTTTTACACTCAGCCTAAAACATCTTATCACAAAGGAGGATATGATAGGACAGTAGCTATCACCTCTTCTTAGCATAGGGCATACATATCCCCTGTGTAAGGGAGAGGAGGATCCTCTCCCTTGCACAGAAGGTACCTACCATCTCCAAGATTTACCCTCTTGTGTTATTTCGCTAGAGTTCACCAGCCATGATTAGGAAAGACAACACTTATGTGACTGTTTCAAGTGTTTTACCTCATTTCAGGCTAGACATTTTCCTAGAATTTATGTTACTTCATTATGGGATGCTTTGACTGGAAAGATATGATATTCTTATACTTCGACAATAAAATATTTACTTACTTTGTGTTGCTTTGCTATGGTATCCATCAAAAATTGTGTTCTGACATTGTCTACATTTGGAACCAAAATTGATGAGTATTCAGGAATACTGTCTGTTGGATAAACATACTCCTGAACTTTTTGATTCCAATGATCCCAGTCACCTAGAAGGAAAAAAAATACTGATGGGAAGTGCCGATTATTACTCCTCTTCAATATGTTCTTCATAAGATTAGCACTAGTCAAGCTTCTCTATGGAGTGAACTCCATATGTAAATTTTATGATTCAGAAAGTCCCCTATCACAACTATCACAGCTCATTACTAATTAAGGCTTCATTCCTAAAGATAGGCCAAAAACCAGATTAAACTGGATTCCTATAATCAGTCTTGGTTAGCAGTTGTTTTCAAGAAATCTTGAAAGGTAGCCCCATGCACAGTATATTGAAGTAGTTAAATCTAGATATTATTGGAGTATAAATTACTGTGACTAAGTTGACTTTTTCCAAGAGGAGTTACAGCTGCCATACCAACTTTCGTTTGTCAAAGATACAGATATTGCTTTGATCTCTGTAGAAAATGACAGGTTCATCAACACTCTCAGATTATAAACCTTGGAACCCATCAAGGACAGGTTGAACAACATTCTTGGCTAGACACACTACAAAACATCTATCCCATATGGAGCAAGATTCAAGTCACTGGCCCTCATGAAGTTTATTACTAACACTATTACATTAATACTGAACATACATTAAGTTCTTTTCTCTGGATGTCCCATTGGCATCAGCTGCACGAGCTTCAACCCATTTAGAAACATGATGAAAATGCATTCCTTGTAAGGATGACTTGTGAGTTCTCCATTTAATTATTAAGAAGCACTACACTGATTTTTCACTTACCACATTCACTGACATAATACTCATACATTGTTTGTGGTGAACCTTTAGGGATTTCTGGCAAATCTAGTTTGCTTTCATGGCTTCTTAAGAAGGCTTCCAACTTCTCCCTGCTTTCCAGTTCTAGGAGAGAGCCTAAACTCCACATGATGCCAAAGACAAATAATTTATGGAGATGTCCCAAGCTTACAATGCCACCTTCTTCCTTTGAGGGTATCAGGCCTTCCAAAAGATTAATGGACTGAAAATATTTTAAAAAGAAAACACACTGTTACAATGTGTTTATTTTTCTTACGCCATATGAAATGTGACGTTCAATTACCTCAGTATCTTGGTGATATATATATTTGTGTATTTTTTGTAAGAACAAAGAAAACAGCATACCTGCTTGATATAGTTACATTCCAAAAGCTCCATTTTGGGGAAAAGGTTCAACTTCATGTACGTATATGCTGCTTCAAAGATTTTATCATATAAACCTAGCAGCACTTCAGCTTCTTGTGTAGTCCGAGTTTTGAGCCAACCCTATTTTTAAAAAGAAGTAGAAAAGCAATGTGCATTAAAGTGTCCCACAACTTAACATTTAAATTAAAGAAACCCTCACTGTGAAAACATACCTGCAATATTGGCCTCCAGCTTAGGGCAGAGGAACTGATATAGACCATACCCATTCTAGAAACAGTTGCAGGAGAGGCATTTTCAATGTTGTGCACTTCAAAGAGCAGCTTGCAAGTAGGAGCCATTGGAATCCTATCGCCATTTGCTAAAGTGAGAGTCTTATTATCATCAAGGACTGAATTCAGATTCTCAATCCAAATGGCATCTACAGGGCCATCTAAAACAAGAAAAATATTCTCACCTGGAAACAAAAGGTAACAACATCACTGCAAAGTGACAAGACAGAAGAATATAGTCAGCATAGGGTTGTTGTAGGTTTTTCGGGTTGTATGGCCATGTTCTAGAAGCATTCTCGCCTGACGTTTCACCTGCATCTGTGGCAAGCATCCTCAGAGGCCATACAACCCGAAAAACCTACAACAACCCAGTGATTCTGGCCATGAAAGCCTTCAACAATACATAATCAGCATAGTCACAGATAATAAAGAATATTTTAACCAAGCTTTCAGACATGCAGATTAGATTTGCTTGAAAAGGGAGGTGTTTTGGTGTTGATTTGTTTTAATATGCTAGATGAATTTTAAAAATATGATCTCAAAATAATAGAGCCCAGCACAGGTCTAATATGCACTGAAACCAATGCTTCTCAAGTACTGAATCCATTTTCATTTATGTGATGTTGTTGTTGTTTTCCAGCAGCACTTCACAGATACTTTTTAAAGAAAAGTGAGATTACTTTAGTATTATATTACAGGAATGTATAGTTATTTATATATGTTTATTTGGCTTAGAGTCTGCCCTTTTCATGTGAATAAGATTCTTGGTGCCTTACAATTGCACAATACACTGTACAATAAAATATGACTGAAACAAAAAAACATTTTAAAAATAGTTTTAAAACACACCAGCTAAAGAGAAATACAGCAACTGTTTGGGTATACTCCCCTTCAGTAGGGAGTAAGTTCATTTTCCAAACACCTGCCATTACAACAGGTAATAGAAATCAAAGTATTTCCAAAGATATTATTCAATGTAATAATGATGTTCATGGTGTCTATTGTCATAACCAGTGGATGTAATACCAAACATACCCTTTTTAGCTTTAAGAGTTTTTCTCCACAGTGTGGAAAAGATCCCATCTGTCCAATCATTAGTTGCTGTATCCAGCTTGCCAAACATCTGAGGAGCAGTAATAGCTTTGGGGTTCATCCTCATTTCTCTGTGAGGGTATCCACACTCTGTCATTGCTCTCATCAACATAGTTATAACCATTGTTTTTCCAGACCCACTTGGTCCAAGTGTCATCAACCCGTGGCGCACTTTGGATGTTTCATACAACTAAAGTAGATGTGAAGCAGAGAGAACCGTACGTTACTTGGAGAAATTACTGTTAATCTTATTCAGTTTGTTTCTATAGAACAGCATTTCTCAACCTGGGGTTGGGTCCCCTGGGGGGGGGGGATCGCTAAAGATCATCAGAGAATGTAGTATTTTCTGTTGGTCGTTGAGGTTCTGTGTGAGAAGTCTGGCCCAATTCTATCATTGGTGGGGTTCAGAATGCTCTTTGATCGTAGGTGAACTATAAATCCCAGCAACTACAACTTCCAACTTTCAAGGTCTATTTCCCCCAAACTCCACCAGTATTCACATTTCGGCATATTGAGTATCTGTGCCAAGTTTGGTTCAGATCCATCATTGATTGAGTCTATAGTGCTCTCTGGATGTAGGTGAACTACAACTCCAAAACTCAAGGTCAATGCCCACCAAACTCTTTCAGTATTTTCTGTTAGTGATGGGAGTTCTGTGTGCCAAGTTTGGTTCAATTTCATCATTGGTGGAGTTCAGAATGCTCTTTAATTGTAGGTGAACTATAAATCCCAGCAACTACAACTCCCAGATGACAAAATCAATCCCCCTCCCAACCCAACCCAAATTAAACCCCAGTTGAACTCAGCTAAGTACACCAGACAGCTGTTAAGATTCCTCTTTTTTTTCCTTTTGCACTAATGCAAATGATTAGTGTCAAACTGGTTCTTACACATGCAGAGTTGCCAGGTGAAAAACAGTACAGAGCTTTAAAAAGTGATGCAGAAGAGGACTTTTCAGCAGGTTCTGCTTGTCATATAAGCTCACTTCTGAAATTCCTTTTCTGCACAACCATTAAAGATACAGGTGCCATTTCTGTTTTTCACCTGGCAATTCTACTATAAGTCCATTGTTCTTTAGTAACTCTTCAAATGGAAAAGGATGATGAAAAATAACAACAATAATGATAGCAATAAAAAATTCCTGCCTCTCTTTGCAGGTTCGAGGTGGGGTACCACATTGTAAGGATTGCTCCAGTATAAATAATAATAATAATAATAATAATAATAATAATAATAATAATCTTTATTTATACCCCGCCACCATATCGCCTATGGGGACTCGGGGCGGCTTCCATAAGACCAAGCTCGTACATAAAATGATTTAAAAACTCAGGGTGAGATAAAGGAGTAAAATTATTTTTGAGTGAGAACTCATAGAGAGATAGGGTGATAGACTGACCTTCATACAAGGGGGGTGTACTCCCGGGACAAAGACATTGAGGGGAACACTAGGTTAAGAATATGTAACTACTCTCCAAAATCACAATGGCAGAGCCAGGTCTTGAGATTCTTTTTAAAGGTTTCTAAGGTAGGGGCTTTCCTAATCTCTCCGGGCAATGAGTTCCAGAGTCGGGGGCCCACAGAGGAGAAGGCTCTCTCCCTTGTACCCACAAGGCAAGTCTGAGAAACTGGCAAGGGCGAAAGGAGGGCCTCCCCTGAAGATCGAAGAGTTCGGGCTGGTTCATGGAGAGAGATAAGATCACAAAGGTAGGCGGGTCCCAAACTGTTTGGGGCTTTATAGGTCAGAACCTGCACCTTGAATTGGGACCGGAAAATGAATGGCAGCCAATGGAGCTCCTTAAACAGGGGGGTAGACCGCTCCCTGTAAGTTGCCCGAGTTATTAATCTGGCTGCCGACCGTTGCGCAAGTTGTAAAACAACAGGTATAATTATTTTTGCTGTAACCCACCATCTATATCCATTTAAGCATCATTAACTTCCATAAAATATTTTGGCACTAGCAACTTGTTCTGGCCTTGGCTATGTGAGAATCTACGTGATGGGCTCTTACTGCATTAAGCTTCAGATTGAGAAAGAGATACTAATTAATCATCTTTTTAAAGAACAGACAAGGCCTTCGCTATGAGTTTCAAATAGGCTAATTTTTAACCCTCTTTTAATAGAGTTTTCTCACATACTTGTAAATGCTACCTCTACTCCCAAAATAATGGAAGTATGATGTTACCTATTATCCAGAAGCAGATCAAGCATTATTTCTCAAGGCTGAGTATGAGCTTGTAAAATGCCAGCTACCCACTCCGCCTAATATTTTTTTTGTATAAAGTATTTTTCCAGCTTATTTTTGTTTTGTTTCCTTCTTAAAACATGATGGTGTACTGTGTTGTACCTGCACAAGCTTAAGATTCCAAGGTGGATGATTAATTAATCCTGCTTCCTCAACTTGATTTGCAACAGCCGCTTGAAGGTCAACATACGTATTACTGTCCAACACCAGTCCTGGAAAGAGGTCATTGATAAGACTAAGGAAGAGGGGTTCATCCTCATCTACCTGAAAAATAAGAATTAAGTAGTATTTAAAATGAAAATGTGTTCATTTTCAAAAATCTAACATTTGTCATTTGTGAATGTCATTTATTTATTTATTTGCAGTATTTGTACGCTACCCTTCTCAACCCTGAAGGGGACTCAGAGTGGTTCAGTGTCCTGCTTAGGATTGTACTCTTAACAAACCATGATTTCATGTTCATAACATACAACAAATAGGTACGTTCAATGTCTAAACTCTAAAATTAATTTTCTGATTTTTTTCATGTCAGGAGTGACTTGAGAAACTGCAAATCACTTCTGGTGTGAGAGAATTGGCCGTTTGCAAGGATGTCACCCAAGGGATGTTTTGCCATCCTGTGGGAGGCTTTTCTCATGTCCCTGCATGAGAAGCTGAAGCTGACAGATGGGAGCCCACCCCACTCCCCGGATTCGAACTGCCCATCTCTCAGTCAGCAGTCCTGTTGGCACAATGGTTTAACCCATTGCACCACCAGGGGCTCCTGATGTTTTTATTAGAAAATACGTTTTGAACCAACAGCACTACAGAAAAAAAACATTTACTTTACCCTCCCATTCAACCCACTGAAATCTTAAATGGATAGACTTACAAGTTTAGAGAGGTTCATGTCCCTCAGCCCTCTCATGACAGTACTCAATTCACTGTCATCAGGCCTTGCTCTCTTCTGAGATCCAAGAGTTCTCAAAACTGAAAGAATATTTCTCAACCCAAAGTCATAATGAACCTTAAAAAAAACAGTAAAAAAGCAATAAAGTCAGTAATGACTTTACTCTTGAAGTATTATTTTAGTACTTACTTGCCCAGAATGGTGAATCATGGAAAATAACATCCAAGTTATTTATAATATCAAAACATCTATATCTGTCTATCACTTTTACTTAAATTGGTATTAATTAATCCTGCTTCCTCAACTTGATTGATCAAGTACTTTCCAGCACCATAAAAGGAAATGTATACAGTGATAAGGAATTAAACTTAATATCTACAGTATTGACAGGATGATGGTAAAATCAGGATGTAAGCCTGCTGTCGATCTGCAAAGCAATACTAAAAAATGTGACACACTACTTACGTATACTTTGATGTCTACAGGAATACTTTGCAAAATCATCTGTTCATATAGTTTTGCCAGAAACAGATCCTGGCCTTCATATTTCTAAGACAGGCCTTCATTTTGATCTGAATAATTAAGAGATTCTGTACTTGCTGGTTCTTATGACTTATGATCTTCTACCGTCAATAGCTATCAATGGTACTGCAATATTACCTGTTTAGTAAGCTGCTCTTCACAAAGTTTGTAAAGAACAAAGAACTTCTGAGCCAAGACAACGTTATCAATAAAGCCACAGCTTGCAAGTTTCACCCTCATGATTATCTGAAAGAGTAGAGTATTACAGAATAATAACTGTGAGAAAAGATTTTGCAGTGAAAGCAAATAGAAAATCCCTGTAAGAAAGAATCAAACGAGGAGTTGACATGAGTGAATCCCACATGCTTTTACAGTTACAAAAAGCTTTATACTCCAAGTCTAGAAATATAAATCATCTATCATTCAATGGACAGAAGATCTTACTGCATTATCTATAAGTTAAATGACATTTCATAGATGCCAACTTCAAGGAAATGAATCCTTGGAAATATTCAGGTTATATTACTCTGTATGCTTAATCTATTTTCCTATTCTTTGTACTTCCTTTGTCCTGGCTAATTAATTGAGGGAGGCAAATGAGGTTACAGATAAGAATTTTAGCTTCCTTCGACAGTAGAGTCTCATTTATCCAACCTTTGCTCATCCAACATAGTGTGCCTGCTGCCCAGATCCACAGCTGTTTCAATACATTGTGATGTTTTGGTGCTAAATTCAATAATACAGTAATTATTACATAATGTTCCCATGAATTGTGAACTGCTTTTTCTGTCGATTTGTTGTAAAACATGATGTTTTGATGCTTAATTTGTAAAATCATAATGTCATTTGACGTTTAATAGGCTTTCCCTTAATCCCTCATTATCCAACATTTTGGCTTATTCAATGTTTTGCCGGCTCGTTTATGTTGGATAAGCAAGACTCTACTGTACTTCACAAGTGCTACTAATTCTGACTACGGAATAACAGCGTGTTGATTAAATGTACTTGTCTATCTGGCACCATCATTGCAACAGTTCGAAACTGAATCTTTAGGTTTTCTGGCAATTCTTGGCGTCCAGCATACCCAGGATTCTAGAAAAAAACATAATTTATTACAGTGTCAGTCAGAGTATTTGGAACAGAATCATAGAGTTAGAAGAGACTCTAAGGACCCTGCAGCCCAACCCCTGCTATGCAGGAAAAAACAGTCAAAGCATTCCCAACACATAGCCATCCCGCCTCCCGTTAAAAACTTCCAGAGGAGATTGAGCTTCATTTAGTTTATTTGTGCCAAAAAACCTCAAACAGAATTAGGAAGAGTTTTTTACAGTACAACTCCAAAAATCCCCTAGCCAGCACTACTCACCAAAGGCTGGCAAGAGGATTCTGAGTATGAATAGTGATATCTTCATATCTGTGTAATGTTTCCAAATATATTGTTAAACAAAGTAATCAAGCATCCATGTCATTTATTTTCAAGTGCACTATATAAATAAAAATTAAATCAATTAAAATTTAAAACTATAAACTTTATCTTAAGAAATGTACCATTGTCAGAAAAATTCCAAACTCTGGGCTTAAATCTACAGTATCTCCATCAGAAAATATGAATTGTTTTTTCCTTTCTTTTCTTGCTGTCAAAATGATATAAATTTGTTGAGCTGCTACAGACAACACTGGTAATTCAATTCGGTTGAATTCATCAAAACATCCCCAAGAGCCAGACTGCGCAAGACCTAAAAAAGAAATGGATTGTTCTTCATTATATCCTTTTACATCTCAGCACCATATTCCCCCAGAACTACAGCCACAGAACAAACATTTTAGCCTGTTTCTGGTTATTGTGCTGATGGTATTAAAAGTAATCTGGCCGTGTCATCCACTGTGGGATAATCATTTATTAACAGATAGAAATGGGTCAATCTATTAATCCTGTTTCATCAGATTTCTCATTTCTCTAGCTGCAAAACTGTTTTGCCTGTGTTAGGGAAATTTATGCCAAAAATGTTTGAAGAAGTTCAGCATGAAAATGTAAATATTTTATGTGTTTTCTCTAGTTTGCATATTTATTGTGCACACACATAAATACATGCACACACAAAATACATTTTAAGTTTGGATGCATTGTTGAGTTGGAAGCCACATTTCTTTTGTAGGGGAACAGGTTAGTACAAAAACTACTATATTTTGTGTTAAATGTATGTTTGTGGTGCAATAAAGAGTTTGCTCAGTGTTTCTCATATATAAAACAATGGACCTAAAACAGCACTGATTTGTCATTTGCAGTTAATGAGGGATAATTTATTCAGTGGGCTGCCTCAACATGTAGAGATTTACTCTCTTATCCAAGATGAGAAAAGTGATACACATAAAGAAGATAAATAAACATTTTATTTACATGCAAAGAACAATTTTTTACAAGGTCCATAGGCAAGTGTACCATTTATTTGAAAGCCTTTGAAAATAAATTAGGCTTTCTGAATTGTGCATGTAGATCTGTCAGGTGAATGTAATGAGAAATCTGAGTCTATGTGAAACAATCTATATATATATGTAGTTGTGTGATCGATTTTAAAAAGTTTCAAAAGTCATTACAAAATTAGGGGGCATTGACATTTTATTACTAAAGTGTTTCTAAAGTATCATTAGTAAAAAAATGTATTACTATTATGACAGTAACGAAATTTCGCTACTATTTTGTAAAAGTAATTGTGCTAGTGAGGGGACTTTCTGGGGCTCCTTTTCCCCTCATTTTTGGAGCTATTAGGGTGCAACTTGATACAACGGTAAAACGCTTTTAACACTGTTAGCCTCCCCCCCACAAACACATGTTTCAGAACATTTCACTCATCAATTGTTTTTTGAGGAATTATGTTGGTTTTTACAAAAAAAAACTTTAAAGAAGCAAATTACAAGACCTATGTCCTGGAATTTCTCTACAATGACACAACATAACCAGGGCATCATTCTCTACAAGTTTTAGAAAGATTAGCACATATCCTGATTCTTGGGATTTTTTTAAAAAAATTGTCAAGAAAGAATCTTTCTTGGTGGGGTGGGGTGGGGTTGTGGACACACTTGGAGGACAGGACACATTTACCACTGCAAGCAAGCCCTTCAAGTATCAGAATGTTTGTCAAACTAAATTAGGCTTTGGACAGGACCTGGCTCCTGTCCTTGCCCCCTCCTCTGGTGGAGCGTGCTTCAGTCTGTTCTGAGGCCAGGAGCAGGAAAAGCAAGAGGGCAGGCAGCCACAATTCCAAATCTTACAGTATGATGTGTTACTACCACCCTACCCAAACTTTGTCAGTGCCAGGGAAAATGTTACTTTTTTTAACTGATGGAGTCTTCCATTTCTGAACTGCAAGAGTAGTTTTCTCAGCTCAAACAAAAACCCTTGTTTGGTAATAAAAAAAGTGTGTGGGGGGGGGGGGGAGCCAGGACACTTTGTGTGCCTGGCCTGTCTGGAGAAAGAAGAAGCCTGCCAACCAACAGGGCCCAAAGGGAAACAACCAAGTCAGGCCACTTTCTTTGTGAATGTGTGCTGTGCCTGGTCTGGCATGAGGGTGGGGTGAGGGCGGAGGGCAGAGGGATGGTGGTGCAGTCTCCTATGCAGGTCCCTCATTCTGCTCACTGCCAGCTGGAGACTCAGACAGGAAAACAAGTTCTATTAATTCCCACCTTCAGATTCCAAAGTATTATCCTCCTGTGTTAACTCTATAGGCAAATCTATCCCTGCCTCCACCAAAGAAATGGGAACTGGCAGATGGGACTGAAAGGGTTCCAGTACTACTGGTACTGGCATCACCACCCAAAGTTGTACACTGTTGTTTGTAGGGTGCTCCTCTCTCTTTCTCCCTCCTCAGAAACCACAAGCAGAACTAGAAGATGTATGACCCAACTCACTGCCATCAGAACACTTCATGTTGATTGACTCAGACTACATACAGAAATCATATTTTTTAAGCAAGAACAAAGTTTCCCAAGACCCAGGTAATATTTATAGTTTGTTCTCTCCCGCCAAAGGATTTTGGGTCAATGCTTTGACTTGTGGCCAAGATAAACAAGTGGTTGTGTGCTTTTTTTCTGGGTTATGCACACAGAGATTGCACGAGAAATAGAAAATGTGGCTAAGGCAACTTCTGCCAGAGGTAGACAACAGGTTGTGTCTTTTTTGCTGGATTATGCTCACAGACATCACACTAGTGCTAGAAAGGCAAGCTGTGGCTGGGTGACAAAAATGGTTGTGTGCTTTTTCGCTCTATGCACACACAGCACACTCAGAGCAATGTAGCCAAGGCAGTAATCCTCAAAGATTCCCTAATATGCAGCAAAAAATATAATAGGACTAGGATCCAGCTAGGTTTTACAAAAAAGCAGCCTAAGACCCAGAGCCATGGCAGTTCGTTCTTTAATTAGTAAGCTTTCACTGTTAATAAGTGCAAAATGCTGCGCTCTCCTTCTTTTCAGCTACAGCTTTCTTTTTGTTATTTCCATGGCCCTGTAATATTCTCTTTCTTATCTATTAAGCACAAACACCAAAGATATGACCATTTCAAAATGAACTTTCCCTTAGTCATGATGTGATATTACATTTCCAATTATGAGAAAAGCTCACTTCTTATAAGCATTTGGTGAAGCATAGCATCATATACTTCAAATACGCGTACAATCTCATGTGGCATTTGGCGATTTCTTATATAATGGTATAAACTGATTAGATTTTTCATCTTAGTCTTCCATAAAGAAGTATTATTTTAGTTATGTTTCCTTCCTTGACATTGGCAATCTAATCCAATATGCATATTTACTCAAAAGCAAATTCCTTTGTGTCCAACTGGTTATGCTCACACATGTGTAAAACACTGCTTCTTTATAGCCCTTTGAATAGCCCCTCCATTTTTTTCAAAATTTTGTAACCTCAAGGTTGGACTTCTGCAATGTGAGTTACATTGCTCAATATTATAACCACAAGGTTGGACTTCTGCAATGTGGTTTACATTGGGTTACATTTGGACCAAGTCTGGAAATACAGCAGCCAGACTAGGTACAGACACATCTGGAAGTAATATGGTTTGGGTTCATGTTACCTACAAGCTCACCTTCTCCCATACAATCTATCCCAAACACTGACAGGTCTACCTAATCAATTTTAACTATGGATTTTAATATCAAATTCTATGTTTATTGTGTTTCCACTTTTGTTCCACATATTTTAATATGTATATATTTTAATAGATACTTTTATGGTTGTATTCTAACTATGTTTTAAGAAGTATCCATGTTGTGTCCCACCTTGAGCTGAAAGGGGATTCGGGTAACAAACAAGAATTTATGACTATGATTATGGTAATGATTATTATATTGAGTGCTGTTGGTTTAGTTATCCATTTTCACTATGTCAAGTCTTACCTTTAAAAATTCGGCCTAATCCTCTGAAATCCATTTGATCTGAGCAGTTAAATACTACTACATATTTTCCCAGGGCTTTCCCCATGTCTTTTGTGGTTTCTGTTTTACCAGTACCAGCAGGTCCGGCTGGAGCTCCTCCCATGTTCATTCCCAAAGCTTGCGCTAAAGTAATATAACATCTGTGAATGCAAATTGAAATAGTTTCAATACAAAATACGTACACATTTTGGAGATTGTAAATGCAAAATACTTTTGTGGAGTCCCTGGTGGCGCAGTGGGTTGAACCAAAACTTGTTGACCGAAAAGTTGCGGGTTCGAATCTGGGGAGTGGCACGAGCTTCAGCTGTCAGCCCCAACTTCTGTCAATCTAGCAGTTCGAAAACATGCAAATGTGAGTAGATCGATAGGTACCGCTCCGGCAGGAAGGTAACAGTGCTCCATGCAGTCATGCCGGTCACACGACCTTGGAGGTGTCTACAGACAACGCTGGCTCTTTGGCTTAAAAATGGAGATGAGCGCCAACCTCCAGAGTCAGACACAACTGGACTTAATGTCAGGGAAAAACCTTTACCTTTACTAATTTTTTAAATTTAAATTTTACACAAGTTTCTCATCAAACCTAGCAAGCAATGCCGAACATTAAAGCATTCAGAAGCAGGGTTAAGCACAGAGCTAGCCCAGTAATTCAGAGTACTACACTTCTTGAAGGCAGGTATATTATTTAATAAATCCACTCTTCTCACCTGTCAGTCAAAGGTGTTATGACCAGACGATCTGTGCATCCCAGAAATTCATTTTGATAAACAAAGTCAACATCAGTAATAGATACCAGTGTCTGATCAGTATCTTCCTTAAAATAAAATCTGCTCTGCTTTAACCACTCAAAATCAGTGACTGTTCTGATATGCATTTTAACCTATAAAAAAGACACATGTATGATATAATCAAAACTGCTCAGAATTATCATTCATGTTGTGATGAATGTGAAGTTTTGCTCCACATATTACTATATTCCATCCCACCTGCTAAGTCCTACTAACAGCAAGCATTGTAGACTTTCTTAATCTGTATCAATTAATATTGTTTCTTTGATTACTGAGGTAATATTTGATACCTATAATAATAATATCTTAATCCATTTTATTTATTTAGTTAATAATTAATGAGCAAAATTTTGCTGCTTTTGACTTTGTGTTCCTACATACACTCTCTGGCACTTCACAGATGAAAACAAAAAACATGGCTGAGCAATATCAGAGCATGGTCAAAATGTCAAAAGTTATTAATGAGGGAGGAAAAAATAAACTAGGAGAGGTTGAAGCTGTTTGCTTTTGGATGAGGCTACTTTGGGAAAAACAACATTCTCTCCGCTTCCTTTCCTTTCCCTGCACTACTGAGTTAATTGAGTGGATACTGCTTTTCTGTTTTGAACTCTATTTGAAGAGAATGAAATCAACTGAGGACAAAGGTGGGACCTGGGAGGAGGGAAGCAAAACTGGGGTGTTTTAAAAACAATTAGAAAATTGGAACAACAGAGGATTAATTGAGGGCTGCCCATGACTTTAAAGACTTTTGATTAATTGAGGACTGTTTATGACTTTAAGGACTTTTTGAGGTTGTACAACATATAACCTTTAAGCATAGTTAGGATGATATAGTCATTGACTTAGCTGAAACCCTAAGTGAAAGTTTCCATTCCCCTTGTGGGTTGTTTGTGTAACGCTAAAATACAGTCCACACTGTGACTGCCTATCTGTTTTGCCTGTCATTAGGGATGGCCTGAAGATCTACCAACTAGGAGTCCACAACACTCATAAGTTTTCAGTCCACATATAAGAGCTATTAACGTCCTTGTAATCACTTAATACTCAGAGTGCTAAATAAGCCTCCCACTTCTTGTCTGGTACATTAGTGATACTTCTTGACTACCTCAATAGATTTAAAAACCTTCATGTTATTTGCTAATGTGCAGTTACACATCTTATCTAGTTCTGACCTGATTATTGGTCAGAAACATTTATCTTTCTGGTTACTAAGAAATACTAAATGAAAATAAAATAAATATTGTTAAAATATTGTGGTTCTTTCAGTTTTGCTTTGGTTTTATTCAAGAGCGAGTCCTTCTATACAGGCCCATAGCCAGGATTTCATTTCGGGGGGGGGGGGGGGCGGAATTTTTTTCAGGGGGGGGGGGGGGGGGGGGGGGGGGGGGGGGGGGGGGGTGAGTCTGAGTGAAAGAGGGTCTAGCCTAGCAAACCTTTTGTATCATTACCCCAATACCCCCATGCATATGGGATATATTGAGTATGGTGATCAGATCATGATATGAATAAACATAACATTTAAATAATGCACCAGTAAGGCCTTTTCGCGAACCACCATGAAAATTTCGGGGGGGGGGGCTGAAGCCCCTCAAGCCCCCCCCCCCGGCTACATGCCTGCTTCTATATATTCTCACACTCTGTCTTATTATTTTTTCCACTTGTCCTAAAATGTTATTGCACCAGCCCTTGAACATATTGTACCACTGAAACCTGAAACTATATCAAATGTGATCCCAGTAATTGTGAAAAGGACTCTCTACCAGTATTTACAGATGAGGGTTTATCTAAAAGTGTTTATGAGGGTAGCAAAACAATAAATGTACCCCTGATTTAAAAGTAGTTTTGGACTCCATAAAGAGAAACGCTACGATATCTGAGCTTTCAGATAATTGACTAAGAAAGGAGTATTCCATCACCTTTGAAAGTCAATGTTGAAAGCTGTTGTGACTCTTGCTGACAAGCCTGATCAAACCAAATGCAATACTAAATAGCTTATCTTGAACACTTGGATATGAATTACAGAAACATAAGTTTATGCTTTACCAGGTCATCAAAGATATCCCGCTGATGCACATGAATGGTAATGAGAGTTTCAAACTTTACTCTGTCAAACTTGGAAAGATCGTGAGTTGTTTGGCCAATAAGGGTATTTAGAATATCCAGAAATTTCTGATTGGTTATTGACATTATTTTCCTATCATCTTTTGCATTTGTTAATGCTTCTTCTGAATCATGCGTCCACAGCATTTGAATTCCCAGCAGGCCGACCTATAAATTTAACACATAATAAATGCATATGAACATTTATAGTGCATTTCAATTAATAAAAAATAGCCCTAGAGCTCATAATTTAAAACCATAATTTAGAATGATTAACTGAAGTGATTAGCAAAAGAGGTTTTGCCATGGATTTTTCTTCATATACAGTGAGCAAATCATGGGATTTTAAGGACACTATAAAAGTGTCCTTAAGACCATCATATTCAAATATATTCAAGACAGATCATTAGCGAACTTGTATTTTTTACTATATTGTCAAAGGACAGAAATATTTTATAGTATTTTCCCACCTCAGTGGAAAGCATTCAGGGCTGCTGCTCACTATATCTCGTATGACACAAAGAAATAAAAGAATGATACAAAAGTATTTCAAAAAGCATTGGTATGGAAAAACACTTAACTTTTTGGCATACTTGTTAAAGCATTACCAAAAGTCTGTCAAACTCCAACTAATCAAATTCCCCTCCCTCTGCTGTATTGAAAATGGACTCTGTCCTTTCAAATAGATGGGTGTCTTGGTAATGTGATCATGGATGTTCCTGCAAGGTAGCAGGACCACTAAATGGCAAGTAGTGCAGGTTTCACAGCACCTAATAGCTCCCCTGTTTGCTAGAAGATAATGGTGTAGGGCAGAATTTTGAATTAGAATGTGAATTGAGTTAGAATTTTGAATTAAACTGATGAGATACAGGTTCAATTCCTTGGTTAGCCATGAAAGTTACAGCTTGACCATGGCCAGTCACTAAAATGGAAGAGGAAAATAAATGTGTAATGACTCTGAGTGAAATGGAATAGATAATAAACTATATGTAAAGAAACATCATCATGTGTCTGAAAAAGGTGCTACTGATTTTAAAAAGTTCACACCACATATAGTTGCTAAGTACTTCCTTTCTTGTTCTTCCTAAATGGGGACGTTGAAGCTCTTTACATGTTGAGATTCCTCTTCCATAAGCCCTTGCCCCGTAAGCCACTGATGAGCACTAATGGGAACTGGAGAAGTCACAAATTCTCAATTCCTCCATTAAGGAAACCTCTTAGCATCACATTCTAATGTATATCTCAATGGCTGACTTCTCACCTGTGCTGGGAAATGATAGAGGAAATTCAGTAGCTGGTAACCTGGGTCACTAATCTGATAAAATGCTGCTTGAATTACGCGGTGTAATGATGACTGTTGCATTTTCAATAGATCCATCAGCCAGAGCTCTACAGGTCCTTTTGCATTCACTGGCGTGTCCAACTGAAAAAAAGAGATTATATTAAAGTAGATTTTTTTTAAGCCAGTCACATTTACCCAAGAATAGAGAAAATCTTAATAGTTACTTCTACATCAGTTGCATCTCTGTTCAGGTAAGAAGGCAAGTAAACTACACTGGAAGTCTGAGGTTTCCCCTGTAGCAAGTATGTCAGAAACTAGAAGCAATTACCTATCTAGTAGCCAATGTATGTGGTGTAGTACAAAGCTTCTTAGACTGTAGGTCACAACCCCAAATGTGGTTCCATTAGCTCAATATGTTGGGGTCATGAAATATTTGGCAATGGTAAAGGATCTCTGAATGCCACCTAACTGCTCTTTTAGATAATTACATGAACCTGTCAGCAACAACATGCAGCAAATACTGATTTTTGGTGATAGCTTTTTTCAGTTTCAAAAATATCTCCCTTCAAATTTTGATGATAAAAAACTAAGTTGTGTTCATGAACCATACTCAATTGAAACTGGAAAAAAAATCAATAATCTGCCATTAAAAGTTCAAATAAAATTTGCCTGAAACCTCTGCAGGGAGGGAAGGGTTAATACTACTTATTGGGGTTTTTGTTGGGCGGGGGAGGAGGAAAGGATATGAATAGTGTGCAGAGAGGGGAATGATTAAATATTTGAAAGGATGTCACATTGAAAATGGAACAGAATTGTTTTGTGCTACTCTAGAGACTAGAACATGGAGTAATGGATTCAAACTGCAGGAAAAGAAATTCTACCTCAACATTAGGAGAATTTCTTGATAACAAGAGCTATTTGACAGTGCTTCCTTGGTGTCTGGTGGAGTCTTCTCCTTTGGAAGGTTTTAAGCAGAGACTGGAATGTCATGTGTTGAAAATGTTTTAACTGGGTGTTTAACTGGGCTTAACTGCATAGCAGGGGTTTGGTCTCAATTGTGATCTATTTCATCTCTGTGATTCTAAGACCCCTTCTTCACTGCCATATAAAATCCAGATTTTCTGCATTGAACTGGATTATATGTCAGTATAAAGCAGATAATATAGAACATCTGCTTTGATAAACTGGTTTATATGGCAGTGTAGAAGGAGCCTAACATTGTATGATTCTTTGAAACTGTGATGGAAACAAGATGGAGGTGGGTATGGGTCCATTTCAGGCACATGGCCCACTCTTCACCCTGGGACACCCAAACCCTTCATTGTCATTCTGCCACTTGAGGCTGCAAACCAAGCATGCCAGCATGGCATGAAAAATGTTGAATATGCTGAATATCGTGCAGTATAAAATAAAAGATTTAAGTAATTATTTAGTCAAACTAAACAAGTTCACCCATCTTATTAGTATGCAAATAGAAGCTCTAGGTGCTCTTACTGCCTACTACAGGGAAAACCAGCTGATTTCTAATCCATCTAAAACACAGACATGTGCTTTTCATCTTAAGAACAGACAAGCATTCCGAGCTCTGAGGATCACCTGGGAAGGAATCTCACTGGAGCATTGCAGCACACCCAAATACCCGGGAGTTACCCTGGACTGTGTTCTAACCTACAAGAAGCACTGCCTGAATATCAAGCAAAAAGTGGGCACTAGAAACAATATCATACGAAAGCTGACTGGCACAACCTGGGAATCACAACCAGATACAGTGAAGACACCTGCCCTTGCGCTTTGCTACTCTGCTGCTGAGTATGCATGCCCAGTGTGGAACACATCTCACCACACTAAAACAGTGGATGTGGCTTTTAATGAGACATGCCGCATTATCATGGGGTGTCTGCGCCCTACACCACTGGAGAAATTACACTGTTTAGCCGGTATTGCACCACCTGACATCCGCTGGTGAGTAGCAACCTATAGTGAAAGGACCAAGGCAGTGACATCTCCGGCCCACCCCCTGTTTGGGTACCAGCCAGCTTGCCAACAACTTAAATCAAGAAATAGTTTTCTACAATCTACAGAGACACTAGCTAGAACACCTTAGCAAGCGAGAATCCAAAAGTGGCAGGCTCAAACCCAGAACCACAATCAATGGCTGATACCAAATGAGGGATTCCCTCCTGGGCACACAGAAAACTGGGTGATTTGGAAGGTGCTGAACAGACTGTGCTCTGTTCAGATGCAGAGCCAACCTTAAGAAATGGCGTTACAAAGTGGAATCCACGACATGCGAGTGCAGAGAAGAGCAAACCACAGACCACCTACTACAATGCAACCTGAGCCCTGCCACATGCACAATGGAGGACATTCTTGCAGCAACACCAGAGGCACTTCAAGTGTCCAGATGCTGGTCAAAGGACATTTAATAGAATATCAAGTCTGCAAACTTTGTGTTTTGTTTGTTTGTTTGTTTTTAATGCAATACAACTGTTTTGGTTCGCTCCTGACATGATAAATAAAATAGTATGCAAATTGATTTTCATCTCTTACAAATTGTAAAATTATACGTATACCAAAGAATTATTTCAAAATCAATTTCTTTATGGTTTATTATCAGTAAACAATTGACATGTATACCTCTTTTGTATACCTATACACCTGGGGTCGTATAAACATTTCTCAAGCAGAAAAAGTTTAAGAAGCCCTTCTCTAACCTAATAACCAAAACTCAAGAAATTTGGTGGAATGAGAAAAGTGAACTGGGATTGCACCTTTTACTAAGATCCTATTTTCTGCATATCCTGTTTATGGTTATAGTTATTGAGTTCCACGTCTTCCACTGTGATAAACTGTTCTCATTGTCTAAGAAGCTCTCAAAAAGGTGAGTGGAATATGAGAGATACATTAGCTTGTTCCAGTGAAGGCAGAGATGTTTACAACAGTCATCATGAATGAACTAGGCTGGCTTATACTTGGGAACTGTTTTTTTTTTCTAATTTGTATAGATGAAAGGCTTGGAAAAATTGTGACTCCTTTGGCAGGGGCTGCAACATGTTTTTGAGCTCTCTATCATATTCATGTGAGTAATAAATGGTTTGCTTCTTGACCTTTCAGATCACCCAGTGAATATTCAACAAGAACAAGCTCAGAACAAAGGAAAAATCAGCTGAAAAGTAAACATACAATAAAGGAGCATGGCACTTCACCACCACTCCATGCGATAAGGTACTTGAAAAAACAAACGGAGCAACAAAATAGCCAAATAACTAAAATTTTGAAAAGAAGAGCATAGGAATTGTTAAAATGCAGTGAAGGAAATAAGGGACAGGGAATTGTCTCCAAAATCCAGGAAAAGGTTCTGGTTCATATGAAGTCTGCCTTATATGAAGGCAAGATGAAGAACATATTTCATCTTGAAGGCTCCCTTCTCAAGAGCCTAGGCAGGAACCTATGATACATTCCATTTTCAATCCATATTTTTTCATCTACAATAATTAAAAACACAGTATCACCCACAATAATGTTATTCACCATTTCAATAAAATGATCAGAGCTATTGCTGGCAGGTCTAGATAAGACATGTTTTGTAACTTTTGGGCTTAGATTAAAAAGATACTGTACTTAAAGAATATTCATTTTACATCATTCTGAGAATTTTGTTGAAAAGGAAAAAAACAAAAAAACTTTTTAATGTATCCAAATTTCTACAGACTGATTTGAACATCCATTATTCAACAATATTAGATTATAGAATTTTAGCTATTACAGGAATCTTTTCTCCTTCTCGGGATATAACTGCCATTATTCGATCATAGTCCTTTGGATGAAATTCTACTTCATTTATATTGTCCGATAAACCAGGCAAATGAGGCTGAAAAAGAAATAAAGGCAAAAAAATATCATTATCATTGTCCTCACACCATTTTCACAATGTAGTTGAACTTTTTAAGAAAGAGCTCTATCCCTATGAATGAGAATTGCCAGTCTGAAAGATTATTTGTGTGTATAATAATAATAATAATAATAATTATAATTATTATTATTATTATTATTTATATGCAAATGCCATTTGCATTTTCTATCATAGTGGAAATAATAAATACAAATTATATTGCAATCATAGTTTTTTTTTATGTCAGAAGTGACTTGAGAAACTGCAAGTAGCTTCTGTTATGAGAGAATTGGCTGTCTACAAGGACGTTGTCCAGGGTACTCCCTGATGATTACCATCCTGTGGGAGGCTTCTCTCATGTCCCCGCATGAGAAGCTAGAGCTCGACAGACAGGAGCTTACTCCGCTCCCCAGATTTGATCCGCCAACCTGTAGGTTGACCAGTCCGGCCAGCACAAGGGTTTAACTCATTGCAGTACCGGGGTTACCATACTATTCAGTATTCAATGTGCAGGCTTTCCTGGAAACCCTTCTCCTTGGACTTATTTCCCAAGATCTGCTTTAACACTTTCAAAAAGTCTAAAGCAGTAGATTAATCCAAAGCATGTCTACTTGGATATGAAATGTTGCTCATTATTGGGTGAATATAGGAATCTAAATCATTCTGGTGGCATTTAAGAGAGCAATTCTAAGTTGTGTGAGAGGCAAAAAGCCTCCCATAGGTTCTACTAGCCCTGCAAGCCTTCTTATTTCAAATTCTCACATATACCACCTCCACATTGGGATAGAGGAGTGTCCTGATCCTGATCCTAAGGCCTTACGGGGGAACAGAGGGAGTTTGACACTTAGGCTGAAAGTTCTTTTTGCTTTGTCTTTGGAATAGCCAACTTCAGAGACTTCACTCACTAGAAAAAAAATCTAAAAAATTAAAATGTGATTATTTTTAATACTTTGAAAAGGAAACCACTGCATTATAGCCTTTAAAAAATATGATGGCATTGATTTAGGATTGCTAACAGAATGACACAAAATTTGAAAAATTCTGTCAAAAAGCTTTGAATAAACCATTTAAAAGTATTGTCGAAGTGATCACTGGGTTGTTGTGAGTTTTTCGGGCTGTATGGCCATGTTCCAGCATTTAAAAGTGTCTTTAAAATAACTGCAAAATAGTACTCATTACATCCGTAACATGATATCAAGTTCTCATTGCAAGTAACTATGTTATTTGTAATTTGTTCCTTCCAAGCTGTGGCAATCCCATAAAGTCCAGCATTAAATCCCAGTGAATCCAAAGAAATAAATGTACATGGGGCTGCAGCATACACATAAAATTTTTCTCAGATTTCGCTCTCAGGGTTCATTCCCATTCTAAATATAGAACAAGTATCTCAAAAACCTGAGTACATTACAAAACAATTCTCAATTTGAAAAAAAAGATTTTGGAGTCTTTAGTAGATGGGGGGCTCCATTCCTATGTAGTATACATTATTTTGCAGGACTATTCAGAAATGCAACAAAATTTGGGAAAGTGGAAGACAAAATTCTAAATATCTATAAAAATGTTACATGTTTCTATTTTTACTTATTTAAGATTTATTTTTAATTTACTAGAAACTGTTCTTCTAAGTGCATAAAAAGTGTCATTTGGAAAATACCTGAATAGTATGTGAATCACTAGCTTGTCCAAGTATTTCCAGAAGAGCAGGGTCAGAAATGAAAAAGAATCTAGGAAACAGCAATCTTTTCTTTTCCAAATACCTGGGTGAGATTTAATGAAAAAATTACTTTAAATATACAGAAATGTGTATTTTGTCAAATGGAAGCTGAAGGCCTGTGTATACTTACATGGGAGTTTTAGTTAAAGATACAAAGCAGCTTTGTACAATTAATAATGCTCTGCAAGATTTAGAGGTTGCTATTCTGGGCTTCTGGTGTAAACAGAAGTAGGAATATCAGCCTACAAAATCTTACAGTGTGTTAGGCTATAAAATCTTGCTACAGTACAAACTTATGCATGGACTTTCAGAAAAGTGAGTGCTGGATTGCAATGTCAGCCTTTTAAACCCTGGTCAGATTCTTGTCTATACCTGTTCTCTTCAGAAACACTCTTTACAGATACTTCAGACATTATCACACATTAATGTAAAAATGGGTCTGGCATTGCAAACATGTTTCAGTTTTCTGCGATAGCAAGCCAGGATAGCCACTCTGCTTATCGTACCAATCGTATGATAGTCATAGAATAATAGTTTGAAGAGACCTCATGGGCCATCTAGTCCAACCCCCTGCCATGTAGAAAAAGCACAATCAAAGAGAGTGTTCTTGGTCTCACTAGGACCACTGCAAGACACATGTAACAGTTATCCAACTAGCTGGCTTCTCCTTTAAGGTTTCAGGTTTCCGCCTACATCTCATATACATAATGAGGAATTGTACTAAACATGGAGCTTCATTCTGGGATTACAGGAGGAGCAATTCACTAAAATTGGATTATTACCACCACCCTCCCCTCCCAAACCCAATTGTAGTGGATTGCTCCTCCTGGCCACCCAAAGAATCCATATTCCCCCACATTGATCCCCTCAAGCTTCCAACTAGATGCTGCAACAGCATTGCGGTAACAGCTCTAGCTCTTCATGAATCACCATTTGGAAAAGTGTGACTCAAAATAGATCTAGTTGTAGGAAAGAATCAAAGGCAGTAGGAAGACCTCCCACTCTGCTTATGCAACTTCCAAAATGCTTTAGTTATCCTTCCTCCAATGTTGGCATACAGAAGTAGTAATAGATAAGTGAGACTGAGTTATTGTTTTCCACTTGTTGTATGAAAAGCATGATAAAAGGTTGCAATTCACTGTTAAGTAACCTTGTATCTCAGCCTGCATTATATTGGATTTCATTTCTGACAGATGTATAATCAAAAGACAGACAAAGTATATGTCAAAAAGATATAACTATCTATTGCTTGTATGTCTGTCACAAATGAAATCCGATACAATATAAGATTCCATCTATCTCTTTACCTCTCTCTCTCTCATATACATAAACATATAATAATAATACTACACTTTATATTCCGCTTTATCACCCTCGAGGGACTCAGAGTGAACTACAGTACACATATAGGCAAACATTCAATACCTTTTACACAGTGAACCCAGCAACATACAATACATAGACAAAAATGAAGTCCTTCCCCTTTTTGCATCTCCAGTGTCTGGAGGTGATGCTCACCTCTGACCATAGGGAGGTGATATTGTTCCATTTTCCATGCCAAGGAGCCTGTTGTCCATAGACATTTCCAATCAGTTGCCAGTATGTCTGCACGGGGCACCCTTTTACCTTCCTGCCGAGGCGGTACCTATTGATCTACTCGCATTACATGCTTTCAAATATGTCTCAGCTAGAATCTCAGCTCCTATGTGATTTAGGTTTAGGCTGTAGGAACCCTAAACTTTTAAATCCAATAAGCTTGTTCTAATGTCTAAGTATACTTATTGTGACTAAAATTTCAAATGTAGGAAAAATGCAGACCACAGCTGTATGGATGTCTAGATTTATGGGAAAGATCTACTACTATTGGACATATATCTTTTCTTTTTTCCTCCTCTTCAAATGCCATCCATACTTTAAACAGTAACTTAGCCTTGGCAGTTCCCTGCCTGAAGATAATTAATTATAAAAAAATATGCAAGATTTCTCTTTATAAAGTCTAATATAGTAATATTTCCTTCTCTGAAATGAATTTTACTGCTATTTGGAATATTTTAAAATGCTTAAAGAAGAAAACGAAGTTTACATAAGCAGACCTGAATCTCCAAAGAGTTACTCCTAAAAACGCAACATCACTAAAATTTAAGCAGTTACTTTTAAAAAATAAAATATTACTTTAGTCTCATGAAAATGCATTTAAAAAAATAAAGTATGTAAATTTCATACCCTGTAAGAGACTTCTGGCACACTTCCAACTGCTCATGTAAATGTGGTAACAGTTGTCCCATGGTCTCATCTCCAACACAGCAGTTAACCACATTAGGATTCTCATGAGCTCGCTGCATTATTTTTATCCAGGACTTGTCAATGTTTTGAAAACGTTTTGCTTCCTAAACAGAATAATTATAAAAGGCACGTGAATGAGGATTGCAAGCCATTCTAAAAGCCAAACTGCTGGTCTGTTTGATTGTAAGATTTGCATTTACCAAACTGTGCAGTTATATACTTACCTGGGGTAATTGCTTGGCAATATCCCCACCGACAAAAACAGCTTCAAGGTACACCCATAGATTTTGCACTATCAACCATTCTTCAATTATGTCACTGGAAGTACTGAGTTTATATACCCAGCTCTGAATTTCTTTTTTAAATGGTGCATTGTATCTTTGAAAATAAGGATGCAACAAATAAAATGGTTACATGCGTGGGTTACATTTTTCACATTACTTGCTAAAATATTTATCTCTATACTTCAAATAAAATCTTGAGCTCCTTTGAATGCATCTAATATATTTTACATATGTGTATATTTAGGATGGAGAAGAGGTGACATGGTAGCCGCCAGGTTTAAATACTTGAAAAAATATCATTTTGAAGATGGCGGAAGCTTGTTTTCTGCAGCTCCAGAGATTAGGATAGTGCAATGGATTCAAAGCACAGGAAAAGATATTACACCTGGAAATTAGTATGATCTTCCTGACAGTAAGAACTGTTTATTAGATGTTTGCTTTATATTGTATTGTGTGTGGTTGTTTTTATATTGCTTGAAATTGTTTTTTATTAATTTTGATGTGTTGTATTTTAACTATATTGAACTCATGTTTGTCCCCATGTAAGCTGCCCCGAGTTCCTTCGGGGAGATGGAGGTGGGGTGCAAAAATAAAGCTATTATTATTATTATTATTATTATTATTATTATTATTATTATTGTCAGTCAGGTTTGCTACCTTACAAAGTAGTGGAGTCTCCTCTTCTTTGGGAATAGTTTATCAGGAGTGCTTTGATTGTGTATTCATGAATGGCAGGGGATTCGATTTTATGGCCCTAGGGATCTCTTCCAACTCTATTATTCTATGATCAATATCTATCTAATATGTATCTAACAAAATAGCTTGTTTCATGCTAACATTCCTGTCAATGTAAACTAACCATAGCCATAAAAATCAAGAGGGACTGGAGGATCCCTGCACGGAAAGGAAGAGAGAAAGATGTGTACATTCTCCCAATTCTCTCATCATCTAGGACCCTCAGTAAAGAAAATTATTTAAAAAGTCATTAAACTCTATTCAAATGTTTACCTGTTACTCAATAAAGAACCCAGGACCATTAAGCTGTCCTCCATCAGTGTAATAATTTCAGCAGATTCATTCCCCTTGAGAAGTAGCTCTCCTCTTCCCTTGAATGCTGAAAAACTCAAGACCTGATTCGCCCAGCTTTCAACTACTTGAGCCAGTTTAGCTTCAATGTCCTTCTCTTTAATAGCAGATATACATATATCCTACAAAGAAAAAAGTAGCCTTAAAATGTTAAAAATATTAAACTGATCCTTTCAAAAATGTCCTTCTTTGATGAGGATGCATTCACATATCCTACACAAGTGCACACTAAAGTAGTGGGAACTGAATGAGAGATTGATCTCTATCATGACTTCTAGAATGTCTGGTGAAGCAATCTGTAATGAGTAGGTTATTTTCTCATACCAGTTGATCGAGGCAGACATTCCAGCTTTTAAAGCCATGTGTTCCATTTATTTCTTTTTCTTACTCGATATGCCCCAGAAAGCTAATAACAGTATAATCTATAATTAAGACAGAAAAACTAATGATACAAAGCTAGATAAAAATCAAGGAATACTATAAACCATGTTTTTAAAATCACCAGTGAAACCACCATGAATCTTAGAAACAGAATAAAGTACTGAGAAAAAACATGTCAGATCAGCTCTATAGGCAAAAGGTTTGCTTAAACAAAATATGTCTTGCATGCTTGTGGAAGTCAATCAACACTAAGGCAGGAATGGTTTCCTTCTATGGATACTGGGGTCTGGGCAGATCCTAGAAAGTGATACCTACAATCTCTATCAAATAAACAACAACTGTTCACAGGACATTAAGATCTCTCCAGAAGATTTCAGTACCTAGTAAGGTTCATAGGGGGAAACAGGCGGGGTTAGGTGTGCAACCCCCCCTCAAAATTTTTCAGGTTAAAAAAACCTGGTTTACTCATGAATTTTAACTGGTTAAATCTATGAGATGCAAAAAATTAAGAGTCCCTCCAGAACTGCAAGCACTATCTCAAGCAAATATTGACAATTTATTCACACTGTCATTACTTGCAGCAATAGCCGATGTAGTGAAGCAACCAAGTTGGGGGGTGGGGGTGGTGTTGAATGCTCTCATTAAGGAGGCCAGACTTGGTGGAGGTGGTTGACAGGGGCGGAGCTGCAGGCTATTGAAGGCTGCTCTGCCCCCTGCTGTGCTCTTTGCTTCAGCGTGAGCTAGGAGGCAGGTTTCAACTCCCCCTCCAAAATTTTCAACCCCCCCCCCAAAAGTATTTTTCTGGCTATGGCCTTGGGGGGAAAGGTAGTCTTTAAAATAAGCTTTTGCTAAATAATATGAATATCAATTAATTAATTTATTTAAAATTCATCAAGGAACAAATATATAACAACAAAGAAAAGCAATTATACAGGATAATATACAGTTCTCAACAGAGGAAACCGCATGATTTTTTTGAGCAAAAATTCAAAGAACTGTTTTGCAAATTGCCCAATAATACTTGATGGATTTGTCCCAGAATGCCCAAAATGTATGAACGCAATCAAATATATCTTACTTGCAACCTATTTTAGGTATGTTTCTTTCTACCATTGATACAAATATTACTGTTGCTGAGCAAAAAGTTCAGAGTTTTGGGGGTGCAAGTGCAACATATCCTGAAGTCCTTGTTAACATATGAAATGCAACAAATGCTACCTCAATATCATCCTTGTGCTTAAGAAGTGGTGCTTCCATGATGTTTCGAAGGCAAAAGGAATCTGATTCGACATCAAACGGATGCCCAGTAGTTTCAGAAATGCGATTCCAGTGTCTTAATTTCATTGCTTTATTAGTCATCATTTCTAATAATGGACAAGATTCACTGAAATCATCTATTCTTTTTTTAAGATCTAGATATGCTTGCCAGTCTTTAAGACCTTTGGGTAGTTTGCGGCACCTTTCATTGTGAAAAAAGAAAGAAAGATAGATAGATAGATAGAAAGAAAGAAAGAAAGAAAGAAAGAAAGAAAGAAAGAAAGACGGTTACTACTTTAATCCTCCCTACTGCCAAATATAATCGAAAAGACTCCACAAAAATAAAATTATAATCTCTCTGAAAGATTTCCTAAAATCTTCCTAAGAACAAAGGACGCACTCATTGCAGTCTAAAGTATTGCAAATTTGGGATCAGACAGATTTAAACAGCAAATATAGAAGATTCTGCTAAGCCTGCCTCCTGAACTTGCCTCTCAAATGTTCCCTTCTGTCAAATTCATGCTTGCAGTGTTTCTGTAATATACTCTGTGATAACATGCATATAGTATGACCATATATCTGAACCTTCTGTGGAAACAGGAAAGAGTGAGTGAAAGGAAGCTCTGACTTCCACAGGAAGTTACCATAGCATTACAATGGAGGTCCTACAAAATTCCTAGAGAGGGATTCTCTCTAGCAATTTGCTAGGTCCTCCAAGGCGATAGTATAGTAACTTCCAGCAATAGGAAATGATAGAAGTACCTGGAGGACCTAGGAAATTCCTAGAGAGAACATATTTTGTCAAGTGTGGGTTGTCAAAAACACAGGTATTGATCTGTGGATATGGAGGTCAGACTGTTGAGCATGAGTGATGTGTAATAATCTAGATACTCATCGACTAAAGATATAGATCATAAGTTACCATTCAGAAAGTTAGCTCACCTGTTTTGAAAATCCAAAAGTTCAGCGTTGATTTTTTCAATATCTACATCTCCCCAGAGAATTTCATAATACCCACTGATGTTGTTCATCACAGTGTCATACAATCCATATAGTTTTTGAAGCAAACTTAGCTCCTTCCTGCAAGAAAAATGTGGACTTTCTAAATTATTGACTTTACTTCTGGATTTGTTTGTTGTTGTATGCCTTCAAGTCATTTGTGACCTATGGCGACTTTAAGTTAAACGTATCACAGATTTGTATGGGGCTAAAAGTATGTGACTTGCATGCAGTTACCCAGTGGGTTTCTGTGGCCAAGTGAGGAACTGAACCCTGTTGAATGATCAATGCATATGAAACATTCCATTGGCTCTAGCTGGGATCAAAACCAGGTTGCAGACCATAATATGTCACTGAAATGCCAGTAGAGCAAAATAATTTTTAACTTTACATCTCTTCTTTCTCATCACAGTTAACTAAAACCATGCCCTTCAGACTGTATGGACATAATTTCACATATCATGTGTCGCCCTCCATAGAGTCTTTTTTTCTTTCATCTTCTGCGTGATTCTCATTTTATCAGGGTTTTTTTGGGGAGGGGAGGGGAACTTAGTTCTGAAGACTATATAATATCCCCAGTGTACAGTCAATTAAGTCAGTACAGTTTTGTAGAAATGTTTTCTCCCTCCCAATTTTCTCAATCATTACAGACATGTCTACAATGATTAGCATATTCTGGCAAGTATAACAATTTTATACTGTCACCTGATTTTATGCAAAACTTCGTAGTCTGTGACAGGTAATCCAAAGAGCTGCTCACCGGATGAATAAGTAACAAATTTCCTCCAGAGCTCATCAAAATTGGTCTAATAAAGGGAAGTGCAGAAATTGACAAAGAGTTTAGATCACAGATAGGGAACATTAAAAGCATGAGAACCACCATTGTCCAATTGCAATAATGAGGGGTGGCAAAGTAAATGGGGGCAGAAGCACCATTAACACTTCATCTAAAGCTACACATATATTCTCACAGTCATAAAACCCACGCACCAATTTATTCAAATACACAGAATATTCTATTCCAACTTTCCTTTCTCAATAACTACACCAGGGGAAAAAAATCTCCATGCTTTTCTTAAGACTAAACTGCCAGGTGCCAGGAAGCTATCCTTGTTGACACTTCTGTATATGGAGAGAGGCAAACTCTCTTGCCCTTTTGTTATCTTAAAGGAAGAAAGATGATAGTTTAGGCTATTTCAGTGGCATCACTAAGTATGGAGTCAACCAGTGCGGTAACTCATGATGTCACCCTCATGGATGTGCCCCCATACCAGACCATACACACTCCTTAGTAATGATTTGAATTAATGTGACATAAATTGTATTTCCTGTATATCACTGAGTGTATTGACAATTGGAGTGTCATAAACAACAAGCAAAATAAAGAAATTATACCTTTGAATTACAGTATTATACTCACTTGAGTGCAAAATGTTCTAGTGTGGTGTTCTGTATTGAACAACCAACTAACTTTTTATGTCAGAAGTTATATTCTGAAGAGTTAAAAAGTGAAATTTTGAGCCTTTTATTAAGACTTAGCTAGGTGTCATGTCATTCCTGGTCAAAACTTCTTACCTGAAAAATTTGCAATCTATTGCTGGCTTCTTGGGGTGGTGTATTTGGAACCATAGGTCCTTCCTGAAATAGGCAAGGTAAAGCTAATAAATAAATAGCAATTCTTTGGGGCTATGCCCCCTTCTTACATTCTTTTAATGCAGTTGTGTTTCTAGGGCTGGTACCACCTAGTGCAGTAATTCATGTTGCCACCCCCATTGACCAACTCCTCTACTATACACAATATTGTAGCTAAAACACCAGAACATTAGCTAAAATCAGCAACTATATATTTTTTTTAAAGCAGCAATTAAAAGTGCACGCTTTTAGTGCATGCAGATGAAAATACACGTTTTGAAGCGTCATTCTAATTGGGTAACTGACACTGACCATTAGAAGGTTCAAGAAGCAAATGAGCATAGAATTTTAACCTTGTACAGTAATGTAAACTGAACTAACAAAAAATGTTTTACTTGTTATATGACAATGGTTTTTCTAAAATATAAAAACTAATAAATATTTGTTAAAACATTACAAATCATTTTTGTATCATACTCTCTGATGGTATCATCCCGTGTGGTTCATAGTCCCCACTGCCTTCATATTTTAATGTACAGACTGCACAACTGCTATGTAAGAGGAATGTGATATCATAGTCCTATATGTGTTTGCCTCTAAGTAGGTTCACATTTTCATTTATGTTGGTTTTTTTATCTTTATGGGAAAGCAGTACAATTACTTTAGTCAGGGCTGTTTGCTCTTCATAAACCCATAAATTATTGCAATTTAACATTTAAAACCTACTTGCTTTTCCTGACCCTTGTTCTTTTCTTTCATGCAAGACACAATGAAACGAACAGTTCACAATACAAAGTGTTCTCTGCAAACTGTTCAAATAAATTACCATTTCATATGCTGTTTCAAAGTTTGATACATCCTCACGGAAAACCTCAACAGCCTCCAGCAGTTGACTCTTAAACTTGGGCTGAACTTGGATGAGTTCATCTTGAACACTGGACTAAAATGGAAATATATATATTCACCAGTAGTAAAAATAAAGGACATAGATTATCATACAATATGCATTTTATTTATTATTTACTGTTCTTATACCTTGCCCTTGTCACCCCCGAAGGGGGACTCAGGGTGGCTTACAAATTACAGCAATAATTCAATGCCAGATTCACACGATATTATAAAGCTGTAAACATACATATCAATTAAAATAGTCTTTCAAATGATTCAAACATATCAAACATATCAAAAGTCTAGCACCAGCTGAGCTTTGTAAACATTGAACCAATTGCTTTGCCCTTCTTCTGTCATACTTATGGGTCATATTAATCCCCAAAGACTTGCTTGAATAGCCAGGTCTCAAGATTCTTCCTGAAGCTTAAGAGCGAGAGGGCTGTTCTGATGTCACTGGGGAGGGAGTTCCACAGTCACGGGGCCACCACCGAGAAGGCCCCTATTCATGTTCCTGCCAACCCCACCTGTGATGAGAGCAAAACAGAGAGCAGGGCCTCCCCGGAAGATCTTAATAGTCACACTAGATCATAAAGAGAGATAGGTTTGGCAAGTAAGCTGGACCAGAACCGTTTAGGGATTTATAGTCTAAAGCCAGCACTTTGGATTGTGGTTATACATTTTGAACTGGATTTACATTAGCTTATATCCCAGGATCTTATTTCAGATTAACTGCATTGAACTGGACTATATAAGTTTATACTTCCAGATAATCTGGGATAAGAAGATAATTGTTGGGCCTCAGATAGTTGTTGGGCCACTGAGATATAGGCCTTCTTCTTCTTCTTCTTCTTCTTCTTCTTTTTTCTTTTGAAGATGGGGCAGTTTCAAAATGGAGTTTTAATACAGTAGCTTCATGCCAGTAAAAACTGTTCAGCAAAGGAACTGACTACCTTGAAAGTGGTGATCTCTCATTTGCAAATGATGATTTAACTATAGATTCCTGCATATAGTTGGAATACATAACCTTTGGGATCACTTCCAATTTATGAATCTAGAACCTAGGACACGATCCAGGGCTATTCGATCCACAGTCATAGAAAATAATTCACAGGAGTATACACTTTACTTTTGAAGACCCCATATCCAAGCTAGTATTGCTCTTGGAGTCTAACAATTTTGTTTTATACACTCTTAAGCAGGTAATAATGAATGTTTAATAGCCTCTAACTAAAGCTTAAGAGCATACATTTATATACTTACTGCTTTACTCTGCAATTTGTTAAAAGAGTATCGTAATGTATCAACACCTTCTGATTCCTCTTTTGTCACTTCAACTTCAAATCTGTTCAAAATTGTATAGGCTTCCTAAAAATAAGAAAAGTTTATAATAACTGATATTGTCAAAACACAGTAGATGCATCTGGAATCTTATTTGTAAAACAACTTACTTCAATGGGTCCCATTGTCATATCCATTTCTATTTCCTTGTCACGTATATGAGACAAAGCTTCCATAGCGAATCTGACATCATCTAAATCTCGAATTGGTCGAGATAGCTTTTTCAAATATTCTGATATAAATGTTATCATGTCTTGCATTTTCTTCTTGTATTCTTCATTTAAGTAGCGACAAAGCAACATTTTCCAGGCTTTGGCTTCTATAGAGAGTGCCAATTTCATTGGCCCTGTTAATACATTGTGGCATTTGAGTTATAATATGTGTGAATTGTGTGGAACTGCACAAATAACCAAAGTAGAACAGTAGAGTCAGGAAAATTGTGACCTATAGGCTGTGACACAAGGTGGATCCCTAAATTTTGCATACTCAACAGGCCTGGATCTCCACTACTTGAACAGTGACCTCTGAAGATTGTACATCCACATGTGATGAGGGACTACAGTTATAGTGGCATGATTCCACATTAACTAACATAGCAACATTCTATGGAATTCTGGAAAGGAATTTGCAGTTGGGAAGGAAGTACTTAGAATTCTTAGGTAAAAATTGTAGAGATCTTGAATTTAGCTTTTGGCCCTAGAGTCCTAAACTGCAACCTACTATTGTAGTCAATCATGTTACCTCCATAACTAATCAGCAACATAGCTGTTAAGAGTTACAAAAAGGTGAATGTTGTGGAAGTCTGCTTAAAATTTGCACTGCAAATGTTTGTAAATGGTAGCTTTTAAAATCTACCTCTTGTTCAAATTTTTCCTTGCATTAAAAAACAAATTTACATTGCCACACAAACTGAACATTAAAAATAATTAAAAAGAGATTCATTTACACTATAATAAATGTTCAGCTAATCGTTGAGGCAAATATTCCAAACATTACTTAAAATAGATTATTTAAAGCTACCTAGAACATTTGTTTGGTTGGTTTTATTGGCTTTCAAATCATGCTTATTCAAATGTTTGTGTCCACTATTTACTAGCTATCCTTGCCAAAACATGTTGAGCATCCATTATTTAGAATTTCAAAATCTGAAAACCTTCAATATCCAAAATGTCCTGATTGGTTGACTGAGATAGTTATACCTTTGCTTTTTGATGGA